TACTTCTCAATTGACTACTAGTAGGCTGAATGAGTGATTATAAATATGTTCAATAGACGTCTATTTGATACATTCTCTCTCAACAAAAAACTGTGTAATGTTAGCACTCTCTGTAAGCTTCTTTGGGGAACATCAACTTGTGTGGCATTTATTTGTAAACAACCTGACTCTCTCTAAACTGTCTCCAAAAGATCCAAAATGGGAATCTTTGTCTACGCCCCCCCCCCCCCCCAACCCTTTACTTCGCAATAATTGAGACTTTGCACCCCTATATAACATAAGATGCCACCAAACAAGGATGCTTGGTAACGGGACCATACACAAACTCCCCTGTGTAAACATCATGTCCCTGAGCTGCTGCTGAATGTGTCTGTTTACCGGGCTTTGTTTAATTGACGCTGAATTGCCGGGGCTGACATGGTGAACAATTAGGGCGATTTCTGTCGCATTAGCCAGCCCAAACAGATTCCAATCTTAACTCCTAGAACTGAGCTGTAAGAGCCTAATCCTGTTGATGGAAACAGAATCCCACCCGTGTCAAACGGCCCGCTGCCCCAGGTGCAGTGGCCACACAGGCCCTGGCTTGTCTCCCTTTATCACAGCTGATGAATTGAGAGAGCCCTCTTGGGCACACAGCCCAGACTGCGGTTTGGCTAATTAGAGGGTCTGTTTTCTCATAAATATCTATAGTAATGAAAATGAGGTCAATAAAAGCTGCAGTTAAAGCCTGTGAAAGTGTGAGATGTAAATTCTGACTGAAGAGTGACGCTGTGAGAGAAATGTGGATGATAATTTGTTTCTTTGTAAATGCAAAAATTCCCACATTATATCGAATGCGTTCAGTGAAACCTGAAGCTCAAACTGCTGAAAATTTAGACTTGTATTATTAAATCAAAAAATAATTTTCTGTTCAGTTCATCATAAAATAATCTCTGCAATCATTAAAATATATAATGTGAGGAGTTTTCATCATTAACAACCCATGAGACCCCATTGTCGATAATCAATACATTCAACTGCAATTAGGGAACATTAGACATCTGTTAAGTACAGTTTAACAGTTTATAATGAGATCAAGACTGATTGCTTATCTTGGTATCTTGTAGTGTCAGTGACTTTTTGACAGCAAGGATGGTCCCGTAATCACATTGTCCTCACTAAGTCCTACTGATGGCTGTAAACAATGGCTCAAGCGCTCATCAGATAAGCCGTCCTCACTAATTGTGGATGTCACATTTCAAGCCTGATATAAGCCCCAACATCTGTGCCAAAATTCAGCGACCCAAGAGTTATAGTGTCTCTAAACCTGTGGCTATGTGACTTGTTTTATTGAAAAATAATTGTTATGACTAAGGAATCCTACATATAAGAAAGAGAGGTCCGCTTCAGATTATCAACTGTATAATATCATGAATATCATCAAATTTATATTAAGACAATACCTCAAATCTTGTAAGAAGTCATCGTTAAAATTCAGTGAAATATCAAAAAGCCAAAACAATATTATTATACTGTTGTAGGCCCAAACTACCATCTCTGTGTGAAAACACATGCAACCAAATACATATGTTATTAGATTTATAACGTATAAGCAGATATGCTAACCCACATTTTTTTATTTTTGAGGTATCTTTAATGCCTATAACCTCTAACACAGCATAGTTAAAGAAAATGAGAAAAAAACACACACAAAACTTGCACACACACACACGCACGCATGCACGCACGCACGCACGCACGCACGCACGCGCTGGAGCGGTATACATCAATCAAATGAAGCTCAGAGTCAGCTCCACCAGGAAGACCATCTTTGTGTGTCATTTCTTTAAATCTCAGTTTTTACCTCTTACTCCCTGATTCTTGAGTCACCTTAACATGGGTGTTAACTTTTTATTTGTATGGATCAGTCCATCACATTTTGCTACAAACTTCATCATTTTCATTTCAGCATTCATACAGTTCTGGTTACTTATTCCTGATGTTTCTTATCCATCATTGCACTTCGGTCACTTTATTTATCTAATTTTTACCTTTACAGTTATATTGTATATATTAGTTCTGTTGTTCCATTATTCAACATGCACCTTAATAACTTATCATTTAGTATTTGCCTACTTGCACATAGCTCTGTATATATATATATTTATTTCTCGTTTACTGCACATAGTTATGTTTACATCTGTTAGTCTGATCACTGTCCACTTATATCTATTCTTTTATATTTTGTATTTTTAAGTTAAGTTTAAGCTTTAAGTTGTATTTAAATTGACACTTTATATTTAGGTTAAAATGTTTCATCTACTTGCACTGTTGTTAATTTACTGCGCTGTGTGCCTTTGAATTGCCCCCCGGGGACAAATAAAGTTTTTTGAATTGAATTGAATTGAATCGGCCTATAAGTTGCAGCAGTCCAATAAGATCTGTTTACCTCGTTATGACCCTCCTCCAAGCCATTCACCTCCAATTCATCTCATCCCCTCTGCGGCTTGAGCTCTCAGAAGTCTGTTCCTCATTACATCCACCATTTTTCACTACTATTACCACCAGTATCTAGACTCCATTGATGGTATCCTATACTACTTTCAGCTTCACTGCCCTCTTTAAAACAGAAAATATTGTTACAGGGTGCTGGTGGCGCAGTGGTTAGTGCGCGCGTCCCATGTATGGAGGCTGTCATCTCAAGCGGGTGGCCCGGGTTCACATCCCACCTGTGGCTCTTTCCCGCATGTCATTCCCTACTCTCTCTCTCCCTGATTTCTGACTCTGTCCACTGTCCTGTCTCTCCATTAAAGGCACAAAAAGCCCAAAAATATATATGTTGTCACAGTTGGATATTATCCACAAACGTTTTTTCTTGTTGATCACACTGTTGGCTTTTACTTTTCATATCACACTTCTACAATTCACATATTAAACTAATGATTGCTTTACAAAATGTAATGTCAAAATCTGTAACTTACTCCTTCAGAAAATAAATGTGAAAACTGTCTGCATACGGTATATGGTTCCAAAAAAGCTCAAATAAAAAAAAGGAGTAATTTTGTGTAGTAATTGTGAGCAAAGCATCTGACTGGAGCAGGGTTTGAACTGTTCAAAAGGGCATTACCCACACATGTTGAAAGTCAGAATCCATCATGAAAGAATGAAATGTAAAACATGAAAACTTAATGTGTGTTTTTTTTTAAATAAATGAACATGATTTGTTTTGTCTGTATCTCCTTCATTCAGGTTTAGATGAGTAATGTTGCTCCATTTAAATTCACCCATCCTGTGGACCCTTCTGCTGTGTTTGGAAATATGTAATGGAAAAGATTTAGATCTGCTGTCACCCCAGGTCATCGGACCAGAGAGGAATCAGCTGACTGACAAACCTAACATACTTTTGAGGGCCTGACTGGTGTGTGAACCAACGGCCGCTGCCAGGGACGCTGTCAGAGGTACTGCTATGCTTTCAGCTTTTTCTCTTTTTTCTTTCAAAATTAGAGCAATAGAGAATGAATTAAAACAGGTCTAAATAAACATGAATACCACCTTCATCTTTTTACTGTTGACTAATGTATCAATTTTGAAAGTAATGTATCTAAACCCTCTGTGTAACCAGTCTAGCAGGTTGCGCATGGAGAGTCTATATAAAGATTTGAAACTTTATGCCTCTGTTGGAGATGGCTGCTCTAAGAACCTTGCGTGTATTACGTGATCACAAGAACCACTCTATATTTATAAAATCATGGGACGCGCTTCATTCTTGTGCTAAAGAACGCCCACCAAAGGACACATCATGGTGCTGCAAGACTACCCAGTCCTTCATCTCCTGTGGACCAGGATCACAGCTGACAGCACAGGTAAAAAAAAAAAAACCTGAATGGATTTATCAGTACAGATTTAGGAGATTAATACATAATGTTGTCATACTTTTAAATACCCACATTCAACTAAACTGTTCATTACTGGTTTCCACTTGTTGACCTTAAGATATATATTAATTATACCTTGCATTATTTTGTTGCCACTTCAACTATATGGCAACATTTCTTTTCTTTGTATTAATATCTTTTACATCTAAAATGTTCTAATATCTACATCTAAAATTGTGTTGCAGAATTTTGCAGGATTACAATTAGCATGGCAGTTGTTTAATTGCATGAAGGACTTCATGAGTCTCTGATTTAGTCATCTTGTGACAGCTTGTAGTTGGTTATTCATGCTTACAATATGTTTGTTTTCTTGTTAACCAGCAAATATTTGATTTCATTATGTGTAAACTATCTGAATTAAATACAAATATGTATATGTCCAAGTGATGACTCTGAAATATTGTCCTTCTGATTGATTTTTGCAGGTTGAAATATGCTCTCTCTGTTCAAATGGAAGACTTTGAGTACAGTGTGGAGATCTGTGACCGCGATTGGGAATGCTTCTTTGCGGAGTGCGAGGAGTGTAACCTGCTTCCTCCTTCAATAGCCGGTGTGGATGACTCTGGGATGAGTGATATTGACGATAAACGGACCATTCTCACTAAGACAGTTCAGAAAGTGGACCTTAAAGCAAGCTTGTCAGAGCCGGGCCGCCTGATGGACGGACCCCCAGACTGCGAGGGCTCTCCTGTGGAGCATTATCTCAGCAAACATGGCATCGGTGGTATGGAGAGCATCCTCTCGGGCAGTGAGGAGGATTTACACCTGCAGTCAGTCAATATATTCTTTGAAGGGCTGAAAAATGGTACAGAAGCAGAAAGGCTAGCTGAAATAAGCCAAGTTAGAGAAGGGCACACAGAGAAAAAAAACAGGAGGAGGAAAAGTCTGATGATGGGCAACAGGCCAGTAGCAGTGTTTTGCCAAATAATAGACCAGAGTTAAAATCCCGCCCTGCCAGCGGTGAAACAGCAGTTGGCAAAGAGACCATGGAGCCTGTCGACACTTTCAGCAAGTTAATGAAAACAATGACAAAAGAAAAAACTACTTCCAGTGTTTCCCTTGGACCTGCAGCAAATAACTCAGTGCTGAAGACTAACAGATCAGTTCATCCTGAAACAAAGTTCTTCATCAGAGAAAAAGCTGGGGCAGCAACCATTATAAATGCAGAAACACAATGGAATCAGTCTCACGTTTCACAGGACGGGGCTGTCTGCTCTGAAACAGACACTCTAACCGACAAAGTGTTAACGGTGGACATGTGCACAACTCGGGATGACGTCAAGCTGGAGCAGTTGTTACCAAAGCACTTAAATCCCAGTAAAAAGTGCAGCACTGATTCACTGAGTAATATCACTAACGCTAAATGGAATGACAGCCCAAACCCAAATGTCTTACAATCAGACGCTACAAGCACTAACAGAACAGCGAGCCAAGAATCCTCTCCATCTGCCTCTTTCAAAAGAAAGCGAAGAAAGAAGAGACGACTCAGTGTTGAGACAGCGGAGAGTGTGCATGCATGTGAGAGGCAGGTGTCAGTCAAGCAGAGTGACTCAGAGGAAGAGCATTGTTTATGGAGAGGAGGAATGGGTCTATGTCCATCAGAGAATTTTCATTTTTCTTATATTAATCAACCACAAAAAACTCTTATTCCCTCTTTAATGTCATATTCAGCCACCAGCAATCTCCCTGTGAAGATATCTTCAAAGGACATTAATGTAAATGATCTTTCTCATGAAATTCTTCCATGCTCCAGTCAGTATCGAAGGTTACAAGAGAGCATAGCCAGACACACAGGTTCTATGGAAAATAATGCAAATAATGGTAGGTCAGTAACACTACTGAGTCAAACTAATAAGGGTTTAATGTCGGCACAAAACAACAGTGGTAATGTGGCAACAAACTTCAAAACGTGCTGTAAATTACAAGTTGAAGACTCCGCATCGCTGATGAAGTATCCAGCGTTGCCAGTTTCATTAACTGACCTTGTAACTGGTACATCTCCAAATGCAGGACGTCTCTGGACCTCTGATGAAATTAATCATCCTTTCAATTATTGTGAAAATGAACACAACTCTGGATCGTGTACAACAGAGGTCAATTCAATAACAAATAGTATTTTACCAAGCACAGAGTCAAATGATCCCACTGTGGATGTCAGCCAAGATGACAAACTATCTGCTACTAAGTCAGTCCTGGCTCAAGAGTCTGGAAATTCTGGCAGAAACAAGCACACACTGTGTGAAAGAGAGTCCCAACAACAGCTGGAAATTGACTGTCACTACACTGACCAATATAGCACTACTCTGGGAAAGACTCAGTTACTTCTGTCTGCAATTTCCACAAGCGGTTCTGACGCTTACGACACACTACGAAAGCCAATAAAAACTAGAACCTTTCCATCCATTGAGAAAGTTTCCAGTCAAGTGGACTGTTCGAAATTAATATTAGAAAGCAGCAATACATCGCCTGATAAAAGCTGTCTGTCTAAAAGTCCCCCAGATCTGGATATTAATATGACAGTCCAGCAAACTGAACCACCCTCTGTGCTTTATGTAGTTTCCAAATTAAATTTTTCATCAGACAAAGAAATTACAAGTGAAAGAGCCGAATTAGTAACACCACTAAGAGTGGCTACTCATAGTGGGAACCCTGAACTAGCTGATGAAATGAATCAAACAGGCAAACATAATAGAGATACCACACTGTCTGTGTCTGGAAACGTACTAACAAGTCCTTCAGATAGTACACCAGTGTCATCCTGTGGTACTTTAGACACAGAGTCGGGTTTCCCCTACTCACATGAAAATATATCAGACATGTCAGGGAGTTCTTGTTTATCTGTCAGTCAAAATTACTCTGAAGAAGAAAACAAATCACTTTTACTTGCAAAACAAGAAGCAGGAGATGGAAACTGTACACCAATAAGTCAGACTGTATCAGAAGTCACAATACAGTCAATTAGTGATTTAGTGGTTGAAGAAGAAGATGCTTTCACTGCATCAACAGCAGATTGTGAGCATGCAAAGGCACCTGATAAAAAACATTCAGTGTTTGCCATGTCTTCTTTTTGGAATGAGATGGAGAAACTTACAATCAATGATATCTTGGGTTTGCGAAGCAAAGCTGCACAGTCCAGCTCCCTCTCACCGTTACAGGAAATTGAGGAGACTGACATGTTGGCAATGACAGACTCTGGCTTTTTTAATCAACTGGACGAGTCCAAGGCTGAGAAAACCAATGAGGACACTTATACTGATCCTAACAATGCAGGTTCAAGTTCAGGTTCTGGTTCGACAGACAATTCTTCCTCTTCAAAAACAGTAATATGGGAAAAGGAACCTGCTAGCTTGAGTCTAGCTGCTGATGTTTATCCTAAGAATATGATGCTGACATCTGTTAGTGACATTCCTAAAACTGTCCTCCCTGGAAGCACTCACACGTGCCTCAGACAGATTTCTAAAAATGTAAGTGTCCATAATCTATCTGCCCTGGAATCTCAGTATTACAGCTGTAGATTGAAAGGCCAAACTAAAAGCTCAGACACAGGTGAGTTGGATAAAGTTGAACATTTCAGTGATGGACACATGCCTACTAAAGACGAAGACAGTTTGGCTCCATCTTCTGCAGAGAGCTACAGAATCTCTCTCACAGATATATTTAAGTACCTCTTTGGTGGAAAGCAAACAATTCCCAGCCAGTCTGCCACAGATACCATAACAGCCCGCTACACTGATGGGAATTCTGTCTCAGAAACGTACGATCATTTCTTCTCAGAGTTTGATACAGAAAGCTTCTTCTACCCTCTCAGCACAGCAAAAGAGCAGACCAAAGACAAACTGGTTCCCATCTTCTCCTGCTCTCGCTCAGTTAACAGAAATCTACAGTATCCTGAGGCTTATGAGTACTTCTTTGCATCCTCTTCTTCTGATGATTCTTCCGATGATGAAGACAATTGCGGTCCTGTAAGGGTGGTGACCAGGTTCAGCCGTATACCAAGTGCATCTCGGATTTGTACTGACATATATGACAATTTCTTCACAGATAGAGACCTCCAACAAAATTTATTTTGGAAGAACACACTCTCCTTCAGAAATATTAGTTTTGCAGGATCTAAAGTCCAAAAGCAGGCACTCTCAAATCCTCTGTCTCCTGCACCCCTGAGACAAAGTGGCCGATTCCCTCCAAGGACAGTTCACAGTATAAATGCTCTGGGAAATCAAGATGTGATGTTTTCTGATCCACTTCTCTACCACCTGGAGGACAGGATCTCTAGACAACTAGCTCAGCAGTCGTTAAGATATGAGGACTTTCAGATGGCTGTTTCAAATCCAAGTAAGTCCAAACAAATTTCACACAGGAAACACAGTGATGCCTTGTTATTGATTGATTGAAGTATTAGGTCTTAATACATGCATTGTGGATTGTCTAGCAGTGTTGTATAACATGTGAATTCGCTTATTCTGCAATCAGCAGGTCTTATATTTAAAATAGTAATGTGTCTCTCTGGTTTAAATTTAAACATATATTGTTTAACATTTTACTGTAAGAGATCTCATGAAAACAAATAGGGATATTGTTTAATAAACTGTAGCACCATCACAAGAATTCAGATTACAATCTTTGGATCACCTTTGACCTCAAATTGATTAAACAGGACTTCACCACTCATATATTCAAGTTAAAAACAAAATGTTCATAACTGAATAAGTAAAATAAAATGTTGCATGACTTAAAACAATTTTTTTTTAGCTGGAGCTGATTCAGATCGGATAAATCTTTGGGGTTGAAGACTTCAAATTAGAAAATATAAAAACAATCTGAGCTTTGTGTTTTTCTAAACTAAGCATACTGGAGCTCCTTGATCCGTTCCTTATCCATGCTTGAGGCTAACAGCTCAAGGCCACGTCAGCCATTAAAAGCACAACACACCTGATCTCTGACGTAGCTATCAATGCTTGAGTTGCATGGTGGTGAATGTACTGTAAGTGACAGGTTTTCTAGCAGAACGCTTAAAGTACAAACACGATTTCTCAAATGAAGAAGTACAACGATTCTTTTAAAAAAAAAGTTATAAAAGTAAAACGAACTGATACATTTTAACATTGTTGTCAAACCAAAGTGTTTGCATTGTAATGATGATCTAAAAAATGATCACGAAACACCTCTCTAAGCTTAATTTAACTCTTAAACATATCAAACAATAACCAGCAGGGGTATTATCACAAAGTGTAAAAGGAAGATAAATAAAATAATAAAATAAATACTTAAAAGCTTTTTACATTAAAACCTATCTGTGTTATGTAAATGCAACTTTTCTTTTTATTTTTGGGCTTTTTATGCCTTTATTTAGAGACTGGACAGTGGATAGAGTCAGAAATACGGGGGAAAGAGAGAGTGGGGAATGACATGTGGGAAAGGAGCTACAGGTTGGATTTGACTTGCGTCTGCACATGGTGCGTGAGCACTGACCACTAGGCTACAGGCGCTACCTGTAAATGCTAATTTTAAAAATGTTGTGCAGTATTATTAATATATTCAACCTTATTCAGTTACGCGGATTCCTCCTGTGGACATTGGTAATATAGGCTCAGTCAGCTGTTACAGTCATGACTGGGACAGACTCTCTAACCTCAGCTGTCACAGGACACTGACTGTGCTTCTGGCAGGCAGAGATGAAAGCCAAGAGGAACGGTTGTACGTGATAACTTGACTACATTCAATGAGCGTCCCCCTCTAAGCTCATAGCAGAGCACTCTAACTAAATGTTTGGTTGTGCAGGGAAATTAAAATATGTCAACTTGAGTAGTCTTTGTGTGTATAAGTGAAACCCCTCTTCTTAAACTTAAGCTATGATTAAGATACTCACAATTGAGTGTTATAATGTTCAGCAGATTATCTGTAAGTAAGCTGGAGTCATAATGTAAAGTATCAGTAGCATCATGAAGCCTTGTAGGTTTGGCATGATCGTTATCTGTTCAGCTGCTGGGATTTGGCAGGGTCACAGTGTGACACAACAGGATGTCCCAACTTATTAATGTGGTCTTTGCTCAGCTGTCACTGTGTTAGTGCCAACAAGAATACCCTTGACCTTTCATCACACTCCTCTGTGGAGTGCTATTGTCCTTTTATATCAAACACTTCATGATATAAGATGTTTTTTAATAACAATTTCTCACTTTCTTTAAAGGGTTGGACGCCTCCCTCTTGCCTATCAGACATTCAGATATGTGCTTGCTCTGTATAGCATTTGCTTCATGGGTGCTAAAGACTACAAATCCACAAGTTGGAGATGCCTGGAAGGCTGGTATGTATGTCAAAGAGCAAAAATATTCTGGGGCTGTAAAATGTGTCTCCCAATAAATATTGAGGTAAAATCAATGCATGACTAAAATCAAATGTACATCATGAAAATCTGATCTTAATATGATTTCATAAACTTTGGGTTGGGTTGCAAAGTATGGGGAATGACATAAGGACATTTTTCTTCCACAGTCCTGCTGGCGAATGTAAGCGCCCTGTCAGCCATTCGATACCTGCGGAAATACGTCAGGATGGAGGCGGCATCCAGTGAGAAGAAATTGCATTACAATTCCCCATCGGGTTTATGACGTATCTACCTTCCAATACGTCATTGCTATTGATAAAACATTTTTCCATAAACATTTTTCCATAAACCGGTGCAGGACCTATGCCTTAAAAAAGTTGTTAACCTTAATATGCTCTGTCATTTTTGCTTTTATGTTTCTTTTATTTGGATTTTTTCCTTATATCTCAGTTGAATTTTTGATTGTTTTGCTACTAAAAAATATTGTTGTTCTGACATTTGAACATTAAACGAATGAACCCCTTTATATGAAGATGAATCATGTATAGTGATCAGAAAGACATGCTTACATGTGTGTATATATGGTTTAAGTGTGTGCTTAAGGTTAAGATTAGAGGCAGGTTGAACCAGAGATGTACAGAGTTGAGATTGTAGAGGAAAATGTGATTTATGGATTAATTTGAGGATCTTAAAGCCTGAAAAGCTTTTTTTATGACCTTACATTCATTTTGCAGTTGCTTTGATCCTTAGTGATTACTTTAACTACTAAACTTTAACTTTCTACTACCAAAAGTGAGATGATATTTATTGAAATGTAGTGTAATGTTTTCAAAGATGACAATCTAACAACAAAAGCCTTAAACATAATTTATTAGAAGGGACTGTATTCTCTGCCAGTATCAGTTTTATATTGTATGAAGAGCATGTGATTTTGATGGTAATGTTTAATAGAGTTCACATGGTTTGCTCGTTGAGCTTTTGTCTTTTAGTTTTGCTATAGTAAACAACGCCACTTGGATACTTTGTCTCTTGTTATTCCATGAGCACTCAGAGCTGAACATGAACATCCAAACACTAGATGGCGACATAAGCTCATTGTAGAACCTGATACATCACAACTGAGTTAGCACAGATTAAGTTGTTTGTAATACATCTTACAAAGTTGTTTAAAATACTTGCGTTTCATAATGATATTAAAAACACCATTAGTTTATATTAGCATCAATTTAAAAATACATTCTTATTCAATATCACTCCGAAACATCAACAGGAGATCTTCTGATGTTTAAGAATCATATTTCTCTCCAGTAGATGGCGAAGTTGAGCCATAACATAACAGGTGTCCCCCTGTAGATCACAGCTCATGAAGCCATGGCTGTATTCTTACATCAAAATCAATTATAAATGAGGTTTTGGTGCAGTTTGAGGAAATGGTGCATCACCACTCATTAGGTTGTATTCAGAATGTCATTAAGCTATGTGAAGGGGTCAACAGTTACAGGTTTCATCAAATAGACCACAGACCTGTTTTGCATCATCAGTTGGGGACATTATGTTTGCTGTAGTTTTTGTCACTAATTAATAACTTCGAAATAATATAGTTTGATAGTTACATGTTCTCCATTTTAATAACTTTGCATAAATGAAATTACTTGTAACGTCTCATTCACAGATTAAGACCTCCACTTTTCCTGGCCATCTGATAAAAAACCTTTGCATTTCCAAAATATTGATTACTATCATTTCAGAATGATCATTAGAATAACACAAAACAAAGAACCTATTTCAAATATTTTTTAAATGTTTAATTTCCAAATATAAATAAAACACATCAAACAAAATAAAAAAAGGGAGCCACACTGTGATATATATATATATATATATATATATATATATATATTAATATTAGCACTTTATAAGGCAGTCAGTTTTAAGCCACATCCATTTGCCTGATAATGTTGCATTGAAAAAAAGATAAATTTACAATATGTACAGAAATATACAAATCCTGAAGGAATGCTTTTTATAACTGTAACTCATATAAACAGAATACAATATTTAACAAGTTAACAGGATATCAAGTTAGAAAATACTTAATTGAGGTTTTTGCACTAAGTATGAAACCTTTAGTGCAATTATATAATACAATTTAAAAAATAACATTATCCACAGTATGTTCACTCTTCTGTCTTTTCTCTTGAATGCTACTTTTAAGACAGTCAGAGTCACCAACACCTTCATTCGTTTGCTTGACCTCAAAACATGTAACAGTGCAGTTCATGGGATTTGTTGTCCATACTGTACGCAGCAGGAGAAACACAGACTGTGTGAGAGGGCTTTTATTACCCATCTGATAGGGATCAGTTGTTTGCACACGTCCAGACGAGTGCCGGCCTTTTGTTTTGCTTTATGACCATCTCTGCTGGGTTGTCATGGCACCAAGGCCCATGGCCCCAAAGTCTAATCCCGTCCACTGTGTCGAAATTCCAGACGTTGGCTGGATCATTCCAGTATCATGGTCGTACTCCCAAATGTTGTCATAGTCCATTTCCTGGTCATCTGGTTCTGTGGGTTCAAGGTACGAGTGGTGATCTATAGAAGCGAGAGAAGATTCCCAGGCTTTTAGTCTCAAACAATGAAAGACAAACCTCGCCCCAACTGAATAAACTTGGCACAGTCCCAATTTACTTGTGATGAGAATAGCGAACATAAATTGTTACTGTAAAACTGGTAGTGTAACATACCACTACAACAACACCTTCAAGTGTTTCATGTTCTCTTTATGATCGTACAGAAACATGGATGAGATCATTGGCTCACAGCGTGTGCTATTTTTACAAATCAAAATGAAACGCAGCTTCCCTTTAAGTTTGTGTTGTTCTTTCATTTGTGATTACAGAGCTTGCAAATTTGTGTGTGACCATGTCCAGTTGTGTGCTGTCAATCAAAGTACAGAACTGTCTGTGAAACAGTGTTGTCTTACAATGGGCTTCCCCCACATGAGACTTCTGCACAAATGGCATTCAGAGCTGCAAAAGGCTCCATTTCATTGACTCTGCACTGTCAATTCTGCCAAAGCCTTGAGCCTCCTGTCTGCCCGCTGACAGACCCAAGAGTTCAATCAATGCAATGTTTGATTTGAGGTATAATGGTGTGTGAGTTATGTTCTGTGTCCTTGGTGATAATTATGAAGGTGGCAGACAGTGTTGACTTCCGTAACTCAAACTTGTGAGGAAGTATGATGTGGTAAGATAACAGCTGCTGATTGAAAGCATGCTCGTTGTTGCTACATCGAATCATACTTATTAGTTAGCCATGCCCTCTTCAGTTTAATATACAAATATATATATTTTTTACATGCATGCCAATATTTAAATTTAGAATTGGACAAAACAATGAAGCAATGCACTTACATTTACTCCTACACATTTATATAAAAGACACTTTGTACTTCAACTCTGCACAAAGGCAAACTATAAATAAACAGACAAAGGTTTCTACAGGCTTAGGATAACATGGCTTCAATTCTTACCTGGTGAGTAACCGTAGGGTTTCTGACAGTTGTTTCTCACAGAGCTTGACGGGACGACAATCTATCAACAGATGTGAAAACAAACGAAAGTTACTTCCTGTGATCACTGATAACAAACATTCTTATGTAACCTAAAACATGTTTCTTCTGCAGCGCCTGTTCAAATATCACCTGCAGATCAAGTACATACACAGGCTGTACTACCATACAGTGCACCAGTATTGCACTCTGTAGCACAGCATTCCAGAAACCAGAGTGCTCTGAGAGACAAGTATCTCTGTGTTTCTCACCTGCTCTAGTACTTGGCCGGGCACAGGCAGCAGTTTTAGCCTTGACACTGCCTCGGCTCTCTGCTCCGCTTGTCTTTGAGGAGTCTCTGTGTCCAGACCCAGAGCCTCACTCTGGGAGTTGATCAGGACTAGACTTCTCCTGCACCGTCTGCCCATGGGAGGTGTGCTTAGCTGGAAGGGGGAGGACATGAGCTGCGGGCCGAGGTGGGGATGATGCTGTATGGGCTCTTGCCAGCTCTGCTGCTAAAGAACAGAGGGAAACGTCAGTGTAGGGAAACTATAAGCATGTAAACACTGGTTTGTTTACTTCATATAAGAATAGTATGGTTTTTATAGAGGATATTTGGTAATAAATGGTAAAACTGCAATTCATTCCTTTTGGAAGAATTCATTATACTTTTTCAATGCAAACAAATGTTCTAAAGCCATTCAATTGACACAGCTAACTTTTTTTTGTATTTTTTCACTCAACATGTTCCTATCTGTATGCTCTGCCTGACAACAGACAGGCTGCGCTGGTGTAAATTGAACTTATGGTTCCAGTATCGCTGACCCACTTACCACTGGCCTGGCTTCATCCAGGGAGTAGATTTCAGGGCTGCAGGGCTCATCGTATAGGGGTGACAAGGGTTGTCGGGGAGCACACATGTCTGAGTGGCGCTGGTGTGCGTTCAAGGAGTAGTTTAGGGATGTCTGAGGGGTGCTCCAGCTGTTAGACTGATAGAAAAAAAAAGATTAAAACTGATCCAGGAGTTAGTTTTAAAGCACCAAGTAATACAAGGATGAAACCAGGATGATCATTTTCTTTTATCTCTAGCTGTCTGTTTTATATGAGCGTTTGACTTGTGAAAGCGATTGCTTTACAAAAAGCCATCGGTTAAGCCTCACTTTAGGATCAGGTTACCAAGTAGAGGTTTTGGACTAATGCCAGTCATGATCTGCTGCTGTGATGTGTGAGAAAAGTCTGGGGTCTCAAAATCTGCTTTCAGCTGTCAGTGTTGTTTAAAAAACTGCCCCTGAGTAAGTGATACAACCACACAATTATTTCCTAGCACCATTAACAAGATTGATCTGTCAACCTTAGTTCTGCTTAATTGCAGTCATTAACCCATTTGTTGACACTATGTACACGATTGGCCCTCTCAGCTGACTCACAGTGTATCTATTTTAGTAACTGCACACATGACATGTAAAATAAGTTCAGGGGTATATAAGGTTATTAAGTTTGACGGCAGACTGAATTACCTTGACAAGTGGGGTTTTTTCCAGCCTCTGTGGGCTGGCATGTGCAGCGCAGAGTAGGGTGTGCTGTAGACCTGAGAAGGCGAGCTCTCACCAGGCTGGAGGTAGGAGCTGCGCTGGGGGGAGGAGTAGCGCAGTGACATAGGCCGGAGGTCACGCTCAGGCCTGGTGTGGGAAGACACGCTGTTGGTCCTGCTGCCAAAGCGGGCAGTCTCAGTTGAGGAGGGACGACTGGAGCTGTACTGTAGGGACGACAAACACACACAGGACAAAAGTCAGACAAAAGCTGTGGCATCAAAGAATTTATCAACTAAGACCTATAAGAACAAACACTATAAGTGTTCCCCTTCTCTACAAAGTATGTTTTCTGAAAGTTTTTTTTTTTTTTTCATACTCCCTTTTAATCCTGAATGTGATAGAAACAATCTCTATCAATTTAATTGGGTTGGTTAGGTCAGAAACAAACAACAACATGACCTCTGGGCACTGAGCCATCTTTGCTTTAAGCTAATTGGATGGGCTGTTGGCCTGCATAGTTCTCCACTGCGAGAGTTTGGTCAAAAAAGTCCTGATAATGCAGAATGCTTCATTACTTCTTCAAGTTACTGTACTAACATTTTAAAGTAAAGTTCTCACTGCTGAATCAGCAAATATCAAAAGAGTATGTTATTACACTTCATTCCTCCATCACCTGAGCCTTAGTAACAGGAGCAGTTTGGATTTTAAGCCTTACTTAATAATTAACATAAAAAGAAAGGTGTCCCGACACAGCTCCATGGATTGTAGAATTAACTCTTACCATATTTAATATCTGCTAAAAGTGTATTATTGGTGTATTTGCTTTAGTTTATAGCTCATAAAAATGATCTTGGGATGTAGCACAGAGCAGACTTACACAGAGGGGTTCAGTGTATCCTGGGGAAAGAGGGTTGTCTTCATGAATTGGTGTCTGAATGTTGTGGGACCCATATCCGCTTGTTGACTGGCTGAACTTAAAGGACCCGCCTCTTCCTTGGCTGTTTCCACTCCACCTATCAAACTGTGGAGCCTAGAGATTAAAGAAAAAAAAGATCATTTCAAATATTTGACTACAAGAAAATGAGCCAAGCAGTTCAGATTTTGTCTTTTTTAAACTTTCATTGAATTGTTATTCCAACACGCTCAATCCTTACGAGCAAAAGAGGAAGAGCTTTGTTCTCTGTCTTTTTTAATTACTTTTCCTCATAACTAAATTCATACATCGACATCTTTGACAGCTGTGAATTGTGTGATTGGTGTAATTGTTTTTGGCCCGTGAAAGGAAGGAGGGCAGGCCTCACCTCTCTGTGCGTCGGGGTGTAGATGATGTCATACACGGGGGGCGGTGGGCTGAGAACGGGCACGTCAGCTGCTTTGAAATGCTGGATCCAGTCGCAAAACTCGGGCATATCCAGACACGACACCACTATGGGGTTGATCAGCTTTCCTGGGAGAGGGGGGGGGGGGGAGGACAAAGCTTGTCATTTGGTTCAGTCGCTCACTGGAATGTGCAATAGTCAGATTGTCATTCAGTGGGGATAAAACCAGCTCTTTCATGAAGGGTTACCCTCTGTGACGTTAGCAGATTCATGTATATATGTATAAGGCCAAATAGCATTTAAACATGCATAAGAATGTAGACTTATTACAATCCCGTTAACATATCTTTTTAAATGCCTGTAGGCTAAGGAGACTACAGCAGAGCAGTGATTCACTAAATTTACCTTCAATCATAAAGGTGTTGGGCTTGACATCTTGGCAGGGCGTGGTCACAGTAATCATGTTGAGAGGAAGTTTTCCCTGTAATCATAATGCATCTTTAACAAAACTGCCTGGCACATACTGTACACTGGAAATAATAATGTTCCCACCCATCTCAGGATGTGATTGAGCTTAAGTGTAAAAGTTTAGCGGGTCATTGTTACCTTATAGAAGAGTCCATCGTTCTCTTCTGATAGGATGATCAGTGTTGATGGGTACATTACCAGGAGCCTATCACTTTGTTCCTGTGAACACAAGATGATATCTTTTATTTATTATCTTTATGATTGTAGATGTGTTTCATTTCAGTAACAGTGCTTAAAATATTCTTATCCAATTGCAGAATAATATGATAATTTATAGGTAATACCACTATAATGTCCAACCTTTATTTAACCCTCCAAAATCATTGAGGTTTCCCTCATTTTTAATGATGTTGAGACACAAAAAAGAGCATAAATCAAACAACAAAGAAAGGATGATTCTCAGTAATAAATAATTGCACACTGTGGTAAAGTCTTCGTTCAAGAGAAAAAAGAGTCAATCTTGAGAGTGTGTTGTAAATTATTCCACATTTTTGGAGCAAAAAAGCTAAATGTGTATATTCAAGGTTTAGAGTGAACCTGTGGAAGTTGAAGCAATATCTGTAAAGCATGTTTGGTAGAGTGCAGTTGTTATGTTCAGCATAGATATTATATAAGATGGCAAATGTCCAATAAAGGATTTATAGATGGGATGTGTTAATCCCACCTCTTTGCCAGAGAAAACCAACCAACTTTGTTATTCAGAGTACAAAGATGAGTGTTAAAGGAATCTCCTGCTATGAATCTAAAAGCAGAGTGATATGTCCCTAGATAATATCGCAATAATCTAGGACTGACGAAAGACTGCTTCAACAACACTTTCCCCTACAATTAAGGAAGGAATTAAGGATATGTATGTAGATTTGTTCATTGTCATTTATCATTTTTGTGAAACATGGTGTCAAATGCTATTTTAAAAGGAAGTATTTTATATCTGAACAATTCTATTTTATCAAGGGGGATAATTATCTTGTAGGGAAGTCAGTTTTTCCTGTTGTTTGCAAGGTAAAAGGAAAAATTGAAGTCCTCTGCAAAAGAAAAACTTAAACCCTCACTGTATTTGTGACTGTTATTTATCCTCGTTTGGAGACTATACAGTAATGCACTGCACCCAGTATTTTTTCTTAAATTGAGAAACATGTCCTGATAACTGATGAAAGGAATGAAAATAAGCACAGAGGAACCTTTAGACCTGTTCAAATATTGAAAAACACCAGTGTTATTCTTTAATTCTCTGCTGAGAGACAAAGTTTAAATCCCAGTAGGATCTTCAGTCAAACCAGTTAGCGGGGCATTTAAAGGTGCGGCAGACGGTGAGTTTATGTTTCTTCGCGCTCTCAGAGGGTGTGTCTGAACAGACAGCTGACATTCCAGCTGTGAGGTGAGTCGAGTCACTGCATGAGCCGGGCAAATGCCTCTCACACACCCAGGCCTTAAATCTCACACACTTCAATAGGACTACCGCTATTTCCCACAGAGAATTAAATACTGGTATTCATACAAGCCTTATCATGACTACTTTTTTATTGACTGCAATGCAAGGCTTTGCCAGCATTATTTATTTGTGCTCAGGTCTGATTTGGTTTTCAAGCAGTCATGGATTTTCATCAGTTTTTGCAGGTGTTGTGTCTCACCTTCCAAGGAAAACAGAGATAATAGAGTTATATGTGTTGGACAGCTAGAACTTGCTAAAAGATTAACTGCACCCTCTCTAACTACTTACATTTTGTTGAGGTAATGTGTATGTTTAAACTACGTGAGTCACCTGGATTAAGAGATGATGATGACTAGCTTTGGTTCATCATGGGAAAAATTCACGGAGTTTGAAAACATGTATGTTTCACAAGTTTACAGTCTAGGGCACTGTATATTTCCATAAATAGACAAGAGCACCTCTGGGTGAGAGGTCAGTGATTCATGAGTCATGTGATGTCTTACCTGACAAGGCAGGTGCTGCAGTCGGACTTTGGTGACATAGGTGATGGTGCCCAGGCTGTCCCGCTGTGAGCCCTCCCACTCGTAGATGTGCTCTCTGTTGACAGAGTTCCTCAGCTCCTCTCTTCCCTCAGGAGCTTCTTTCTGGTTTAAGAGGGTACACAGGGGAGGATCCTCAGTAAAGTCAACATGAACGCAGCTCTTCCCTTAAGCCTATTTAAACATGTTTGTTTTCTGATTTTTTTCTCAGAAAGACTGCCATTTATCTGTGCATTTTAAAGGCTCCAAAGATAAGACTCTTAAAAGCTTAATCAGTTCAGTTTTCTTTTGTTATCGCCTTTTGCCTGTGTGTCCTTGCCTAGGTTCATGTGTTTCATTAGCCATTTCCCCACCTGTGGCTGCAGACTCAGCGCATTAACCCATTGCAGATGTAAGGGGTACTTTGATGTAAGCTGTGATGCAGTGAGGGCCGCTCCCTAGTATCCAGGCCTCAGGGAGAGCCTGCAATGACCTACTTGACTCACCAAATCCACACACACACACACACACCCTGTATTATCAGAAGTGGTTGAACCATTTTATGGCTAATACACCAGGTGGATTACAGATGACCACACTCAGATGTTTTCTTGAATTTGAAAAAAGATGTTAATCCTTGTTGCATTACAAGGACCAGTTTTATACAGCCTTAACCTTATAACCTTATAATAACAGAAAATAAGCCCCATTGTGTGAAGAGGCTTCAAAACAATGTTTTTAAACTTACTTTAACCCTGGTGTAGTTTTCAGGTGCAATGGGAGTGCCTCCATTGGCCTCAATGTTCTCCTTGAGAAGGCCAAACCATAGATCCATTTCTTCTTGGTTGGCACAGTACACGATGATGGGGTTAAGGCTGACACCTGCAGAGTACAAAAGTCATGACGTGAAAAGGGGAGCATTATCCCGGCTTATTTTAGGAGCCATTTTTTGTTCAGAGCTTGCCTGCCACAGAGGTTGTCAATCATTTATGATGTTCACAATTTGGTTAAGTGGCTGTTGAGATCATGTTATACAATAAGTACAATAAATGCTTACACATGTTAAAAGCTGTAAACACATGTAAGACCTCTTGAGGAAGATCACCCTCGACCTGCTTCATTTGGTATTTAAGTCATAGTAGACTAATTGCTCACCAAGGAGGAATGAGCTGGAACTGGGATGAAAAGAGCTGGAATCTCTCTGTTTCTATCAGTCCCACACATACCAGAGATAACCAGCAGCGATAGGATTTTCATTCCAGCCCCATGGCTTTGTAGTGTAATTGTCGGGGACTGTAGCTTATTTTACTGCTCCGTCAAAGATTCCATATCTGAACTTATCTGCCCACTTTCTCTCCATCCCACCTCTTAAATGTAGACCTTGACCATAGCACTCCCCTAAAAGGTTTTGTTTTTCTACAGCTCCAGAAGTCTTGAGGCTGGAGGCAAAAAATGAGGCTTTCTCTCGTTCCAACTTTCAGTCAGTAACAGGGATTTTAACAGCTTTTAAAAGTAGTTAACTATCATCATCTAACTTTCACAGCCACACTAATTCAAACCATGTGAAGGATTCCTGGAATTTGACGCACCGTCTCGCGCTGCGTTTGCTTCGTGACTCTCTAACTCTATAAACACAGTTTACACTAAACCTGATTCATGTTTGCTGCTCTTGACAGGAAGACACAGATCCCAAGGAGGAAATGTTTATCCAATATTTTACTTGACTCAGAATTTCGTCATGCTTCCGCCACATGTTTCTGCCAGTGATGCGTCACATAAGATAAATAAAAGTTCAAGCTTTTTTTAAATACAATAACTCAAACTAACAAACTTGATCTGGGAATTGGTGAAGTCAATATGAGAAAGATTAATAGTTTTTAAAAGAGTTAATTATATAAACAAGAAATTCACAGCCACACTTTCATGTGAAGGATTTTTTCACCATTGGATTTTTTTGCTTAATTTTCATAACCATTTTAACTGTTTTTATGTTTCCCAGACAAGACACAATCCAAGGAGGAAATGTTTATCCAATATTTTACTTGACTCAGAATTTCGTCATGCTTCCGCCACATGTTTCCTGCCAGTGATGCGTCACATAAGATAAATAAAAGTTCAAGCTTTTTTTAAATACAATAACTCAAACTAACAAACTTGATCTGGGAATTGGTGAAGTCAATATGAGAAAGAATTGCCAAATAGTGTCAATATTATGACAGCAGAGATAATAAATTAGTTATAAACAAGAAATATAAACACAGAAACCCTACATGCTTTTCATGATGCTAAAAGGATTTTTCACACATTGGATTATTTTTGCTTAATTTTGCATTAATCCATGATTTAACTGTTTTTATTGTTTCCCAGACAAGGACCAAATCCTTTTCAATCCAGCAGCTTATTTATACTATAAAAAATCAAGCTTCAAATATTTCCGGCCTCTCTGAGTTCAAAAGTTAATTGGCATTTACACCAGACATTAACCTGAGCAGATTTCGGAATGTGCAATACATCATATGCAGTGACAAGGCTAAGAGCGGTAGCTGGGCTTTTCTGCGCGACAGCTGGGCCGACTGAAGTGCACCTGTTGTCTAACAAGCAGGGCCTTTAAGGCCGGTTTAGCCCCCTGACCAAGGGTGAAGGGGGCCCAGCTCTAGTTAGTCTTGGGGTTGAGTGGAGGTGAAGGGGGTCGCGGCACCTTTGAATCACTGGAATGTGAAAACACAGGAAATGCTCGTGCATGAAAATAGCGTGTGAGTTCTGTTTGGGTTTTTCTAAAAGTGAGAAGCCTTTTTACTTTGATCCATAACGGATGAAAGGGACAAACATGGCATACCAGCATCAGCAGTAAAAAAAAAAAAAAGATAACAGATTAAGAAGTATTAAATTGAAATAAATACAAACAAACAAACACAACTCTCGCTTGACTTTTAGTTTATCTACCTTTCTTTTTTGACAACTCGCTGCTTTAGCTGCTGCAAGTCTAAGTGATTGAGAAGATAAATTTAACATAACCAATAAAACTCAAAACACATGATTACAACATTCCTCCGCTCCATTCAAACACCCATTTGTGTCCTCTCTGGTGAGGTCAAACTTACCGTTTATTTGAAAAGCGAACTCCTGGGGTTGGCTGTGGTTGCAGTTCTGTTGCAGGTTGCAGATGGTGATTTCCTTCAAAGGCAGAGTTCCCTGCACACAATTTTAAAAAAAAATGAAGAAATTAATCACAGTGGGCTGAGATCAGCCTCATAAACCAATGATGTTTTCATGTCTGCCTCTCATTTGTCGTCATCTATATTCTGACTAACCGTGCACACAGGTGCTTAGCTGTCTCTTCTTGACTTGAGAGTTGAGCTTGCGGCAGACATCGTAAAATGATGATTAATGGCTGCTCACGCTTTATGAGACAGGTGAAGAAGTATGATCTTCCTTTTTTGTTTACCAACACGCTGCTGGTTGATAGGGTACGTGTGTCAAAAGGTTCAATTACATAACGTGAAATCCTTCCCCTTAAGGATATTAAATGAAGAAATATCCATCTGAGATATTAGCCGATTTTGAAAAGCCCACTTTTTGAAGGAGGGATTGTCATTATTGCAGATTGACATGAAACTCACCTGGTACGTCAATCCTGTTGTGTTGTTGGAGACAAAATGAAGGTGGGTCTGGAAGAGATCCAGGTAGCAATCATGTACATCCTGTAAAAACAATATATAAAGTTAAAGTGATACAGTATTGATAACTTTACTGCTGTTGTTGAGGATGAATGTCTGGCAAAGGAAACACAATTCTTGTATAACAGTGCTATCAAACTCATATTCAAATCTGCCCATTTGAATTCCAAATTTACAAGTAAAGCAGCTGATTTCACAATTGAATACACTTCTGTTAAGTCATCTGTGCATATTTTTGTTGAAATTGGACCCTGCAGGCACATATTCACATGTCTTGGGGGCATTGTTGTACTCTGATAAAGAAAGAATCTTATATGAGAACCTCAAGAGCATTGCCGCCGTAACCTTAAGAAAAATTACTATTTTCAAACCTTGCCAGGGGTTTTACTACTGTTTATATATTTTTATATTGGAACATCAGGTTCTTATATCATCAGCTGATTCATATGAGATGTTTTGATTGAAAGGGTTTGATAAGTATATAACTTATGTTACATTACAACATGTTCCTTTCCTGTCATGACGCTATTCCCTAAATCAAACTTTTGCTTTTGCTTTTGACAGAACTGTTGTGTCACAACTCTTACAAATTGCTTTTAGGAGTCGTTGTGTCCTCTATCAGTTCCTGGGATCAGAGGTACTCTCTCTACCCTGAGGTTTTCTCTCTGAGATGTTTCACAACCATAGCAGCAGCAAACATGTCCAAACACAGGCTGCGGTCCGCTTTGTGGAAAACTGATGGATTATTCAGAGCCAGCCACCACGTCAATGCCAGCAGTACGTTTCGGTGTGTTTGGTGGCCACAGAGCAACATCCTGTTGCACTCCACAGTTATCTTTTGTTCGTTTTAACACACAGGGTTCACAGGGATGACTGGTGTGATGTGTCATTGTAGGCTTGGTCTTTGTGAAAGACCTCATTAACCACAATGTGGATTGTGCAGCATTCGCTTTGTTTTCTTTTATTGTTGCTTTCCTGCTGTTACAACATAAGAGTCATTTTGTTCAACTCACCTGGCAGTGGAGGAAGCGGAAACGGACTTTGGAGCTGTGAATCATGCGTCCGTAGTTCTTCACATTTATGCTGCTCTTCTTCCATCCGCTAGCTGGGTCATAGGGAAATGGAGGGTCCCATTTTATGTTTTCTATCGCCTGCAGATCTTTATGGGACATTTCCTGCAAACAGTCACAGTTGACATGAAATTAAGACCATTTCTTATATCTGTATATGTGTTGGTAAGTAGACGGTTGTCAAGTTATCACCATTTCCTACAAGCTGATGAAGTTTCTTACCTTTCGAGGGGTGACAGTGCACAGGATATTGATGATGCTGTTGGACTTCTCCTGTCCCTCTTGGGGATTGTTTTTGCGAAACAGCCGACTGCTGTCAGAGAGAGTAAAACCACATGTGACTACTCACTCTATAATGTTTACAATCTATTTCTATGTTTGCTCTTCAGTTCCCATCTGCAGAGTCAACAAAGAATATTTCCTATTTATGGAAGTTTGTTGTTCTCTACTTTTGTCAGATAGAAAGGTGACCCAAACATACAGCTTGTCTTTACTATTTTGCATTTCAAATTTGAAATAATAATAATGAAGTCACACAATGATCCTGAACTATTGACAGAGTTCAATTTGAACAGCAAATTAATGACTGTTAATGATGTGTCTATTGCCATATAAATTGGCTGTTTCCTTTGTCCTCCTTCCATCAATGCAAGCCATTTAAATGATAGGAACAATCAAGTCTTGTGTTTTTGATAGTGAGGATATGCAAAGAAAAATCAGCTTTCAATGTACCTCTTTGTTTTGCATGACCCTCATCTGTTAGTGTCACATCTATATACGAGGAAGCTCCCTTGCTGCATGATGAGCCTCATGGACTGCTTTTACAATCTCAGCTTGCAGTTTATCTGCTTATCTGCGCACATGTGTGCCAGTGTCCTGAGTGTAACAAGGCAGGCTTTTGTTTGCACTGTGGGAATCAAGGTCTGTCTAATCAGGAAGTCCATGTTCAGCATCAATCATTGATTAGTGTTTTTAGTGAGAGATGCTGTGTAATTTTTTCAAAAATATTATAGTCAGAAAAGTGTTTTAACAATGCATGCTGATGCAATTTGCAGTGGAAATATATAAGAGGAATGTACTGTAGATAATAGACAGGTAGTGGTTTTGCACACTTTACATTCTATGTCACTGCTGTGGCATTCACTTCTCTGCTGGGAATACCTGAGCCTGGACTGATTCACCAACACAAAAGAGTAGGTAGGAAACAAGAACAATAAACTTATTGTCTATGCTGAGTGATCTGCCCTACTAGAAGGTGTGTTTTTTTTTTTTACACCAAACTATTTTCAAACAAGAGAGGCCGAGCAACCCTCAAAACCAAGCGCTTCATCACATATTAACTGAAAACCAGACTGTATCTACAAACAGCACAGGGGCGAAGACCTGTGCAGAGGCTAATTACAATCAGATGTGGTGGTTCAGCAGAGTGGGCTGGACCAAGAGTGACAAGCCCAGGCACATATACATCAAGAGGATTAAAGAAAACCTGATTCAAAATATAAAAGTGTTAACTAGTTGTGTCGGTCAATTCCTATATTCATGTTGAAGCCCTCATGTCAGTCACTACAAGCTCTGAACTTATAGATCAAGTGTCACAAACTTTATATATAAGTATTTAAGTGTAAATTCCTACATATATTCCACCACAATTTGTGGTAATGATGAGGTCAGGTCCTGATTTTGGAGGGAAAAGGACAGCTGGCAGATCATCTTCACAGAGATGCAAAGAGGAGGCAAATGGTAACTGTATCATTGACACCGTTGACCAGTCTGACACACTCAGGCCCGACTTTGAGAGACTATCCTGTAAAACCACATGATCCTTACCCTGGCCTTAAAAAATTCACAACCTCGATTTAACCCTACTACTTAAACCCTGAGAAATACCAAGAATTCCTTTAATCTGAAACACAGTCTTAAATAACAAACGTCAGTCAAGGCCATGACATGTGCTTTGTATAGAGGAAACAGTAGGATTTTTCTTACCTGTTTCTGCGAATGAAGCTCTTGCTGGAGAATCTGAAGTTGTGCTGGGGGACACATGACATGCTGCTCCCCATGTTGCTGTAGTCTGTTGGGCTTTGCGCTGCTCTAAAGGCAAACTGTTACTCCTTCTTTGAGGGGTGGGTGTAATCCAACAGTGCAGTGTTCTCCTAACTGAAGTCAGACTAGTACTGAGGGAGAAGTGGGCAGGGTGAAGGCTCTATAGTCAGACCGGTGAGACTGTGTCTGCGTAAAAGGGGTGGAGTTTAGGGGCTCTGCGTCAGAGGCTATCTGTGGGTGTGTGAAATAACCAGTAGGACTCACACCTCCTGTGAGTTGCCTCTGTCTGTTAAATCAATCCAAACAACAAAGACAGGGGGTTCAGGGAGAAGTGTGCCATTTCACACCTTCCAGGGGCCAAATGGAGCTCATTGTTGGGTCACCACTGTAATGAGTGGTCACTAACACACTGGATGGTGTATGTCAATCAAAGGGTGTAGATGGGGGCTTCCACTGGCATGTCCAGACATGAAAATGCAAACCTGAAGTAGTCTGTTTCTTATTAGCCCACCTTCGACAAACAAAACAGTACCAGTTTGACACATATATATCTGGAAAGTGCTAAATAGACAACACATCACTGTGATTTTTGAAATGAGGAGTTCAATTATTAGGTAAGTTATTGTTTCTTTCTTTGTTTTGCTTTATGCTTATGTATTATTCTCTTCAACCTGTCATCACCTGTAGTGTGTTCATATGTCAGTAGCTTCCACAAGGAGGACGGTGTGAACAGGACTTTTGTTTATTCAAAGGCTCTAATTTTCATAAGCCAAGAGGTGTATGCACACATGTCTTATTTGCATGTAAGGAGTATGTTCATTTAAAAAAAAGTTTTTTTGGCAGCTTAGAATAAACATTTATTCATAACAACACATTAAAAACCCAGCCAATAAGTTATCTCGTTTTCTCTGTATTTACATGTTCTTCTTAAAGGACTGTTTGTATTTAACCTTTTTTTAACCAGGTCAATCCCATTGAGATTAAGAATGTATTTTCCAAGGGAGACCTGGTTAAGGCAGGCAGCAGCAAAAACACAAAGTTACAGACAGAGACACAAAAGGAAGACAAAGTACAATTCACAAAACATAAATTTTTTGCATAAAGAGACCCATCTATGAGTCAAATGTGGGAGTCAGTAAATCAAACAGTCAAGCTAAAAGCATTGACATCCTATAAAATCTGCTTCCAAGTCTTTCATTTTAGATTTAAAAACATTTAAGGACACAAGCTCTTTGGGTTTGAAGTCATTCTGCAACCGATTCCAGGCTGAGGGTGAAGAATACCCAAAAGTCCTTTTCCCTATTCCTGTCCGGGTGTTTGGGACAGAGAGCATAAAAAGGTCCTGAAAATGTAAAGAATATTGCCCAGTACTTTTCTGCATGATAAAAACACACAGGTAGTGTGGAAGCAGACCAAGAATGACCCTATATAAAGGATGTATATTTTAAAGGATTAAGCCAACATATCATAAGTCTTTTAGCTATTAAGTTAATAAATATCAGTTTTAGTTTGTAACCCTTATGATTCACAGTAGCACATGTAATTCATAGTTTCCCTGAAAAAAAGTGACATGTGTTCTTACCAATCAGACGCAGGAGTCAAACACTCATCATCTTGTGTTTCCTTAGAAATTAGGTCATTGTCTGTGGCAAGATGACCTGAAACGTGCGCAGCTTGTGTCAGGTAATGGCAACCTGTTCAGCCGGATTATTCAAACAGATGCCCCTGAGGCAGCAACAGTCATCAAAAACCCAACTGTGGAGTCGTTGTCACCTTTCAGTTGCCTCGGTTCTCTATTATTGTCTCTCTGAAACCCTGTTTGATGGACCACAGGGCTCATAACAATACATTCAATCAATGAAGAATGGTGATTGACCTTCAAGTGGTATAACTGAATATAAAACATCTTTAGGAGAAGTAACTTACAGGATCATCATGTGGCCAAGGAGAAAGTCTATTATTAAATCAAAATTAGGGTAGATAAAGTTGATTAAGTCTTTTGTAACTCACCCATTGCACTCACATGAATGGCACTGAGTGCGGTTTGTTCTTCAGAATGCAAAATTAAAGTAGTTAGAAATGTGTCGTAAAAATCTCCAATAAGTAAGGACAAGGCATGGTCTCCAAAACATCATGACATTTATTTTAAATAGTGCATGTATTTCATTGGAATGAGGGCCTCACTGTCTAAATTATCTTTGCAGTCAGTTTGTTTGATTGTCTGTAGCTTGAGAGTATTAAAGGCCATGGTGACTTATGTTAAAACAGTCTATAACACTCAGTTTTAATATTTGATTATGAGCCGAATTACATGAATACTAGGAACTTTTTAATTCATTGTTACTACATTTTTTCATATATATTAATTTGTATAGCAGTTTCTCTGCCAAAAAGGGTAGCTGACTACCCAATACTTAATACAGCAGTGAGAGAGAAGTAAAAGTTGATAAAAAACATTGAATTTGGTGAAATTTAAAAAAAAAAAAATTTAATTTGCCCCTTAAAGAAGATTCAGTTAGGGACGAATATCAAGAGTAAAATATTTCATTACATTTACCATGGTAACTAACATACTGGAGGTCATTATGTTTATTTTTACTAAATATTAGCATATTAGAATAATACATTTACTTTTTGAGATCAACATAATGATGTAATCATGTCAACATGATAACTGCTACAACATATATTGTTAGCATATAACATCAACTGCTGTCTAACAAACTATATTTTAAGTATGGCAAGGCAAGTTTATGTATATAGCATATTTTAACAAGGCAATTCAAAGTGCTTCACACAAGACATCAAAATATATATACCTACTCGCACTCTCAGGTCTTCTTCCATTCAACTCACTGCACCACCCGCCCGCCTGTCCACCATGGGGTCCAGGGCCTTCAGCCGCTCTGCCCCCCACCTCTGGAACTCCCTCCCACCACAAATCCGTAATATTGACACTCTCTCCATTTCCAAATCTCATCTTTTTATACTGGCATATTCAGTCTGATCATTCTCCACCCGTTCTCATAACTCCTTTACATCCTGTACATTTGGGTTTTTTAATGTTAATTTTATCGTTGTGTTGTTACTTTGTTGTTTTTATCTCTGCTCTGTAAGGTGAGCTTGAGAGTTTTGAAAGGAGCCTTTAAATAAAATGTATTATTATTATTATTATTAAAAGCATCATGACAGAGGAAAAAAGAAACATTAAAATAGAAAATGTTAAAATCACTAAAACATACAATTATCAAATCTGAAAATATGTTGAAATAAAATTAAAAAATAAATAAAATCCAATTAATTGAAATAAATATAATAAAAATGATCTATAGTAATAGTCAACTAACGATTAAACAGCCTTGGTGATGAGTTGGAATTGTGGAGTTCTCTGTAGTGTTAAAAAAAAACTTAAAATACACATTTTTGAATGATTACAACATAAAATCGTAAAGAGTTATGGAACTATTTTGAGTTGATCTGATTTTGTTATTTTTCTTTGTTATTGAAACCACCCCGCTTATTAATTAGTTGTGTCCCATCTGTTCAGAAAAGGAATCCTGAGGTTCATGTCATTCTCTCAGTGTGTGGCTGGTTGAACTCGGACTCTCCCGGAGAAGTCACCCGCTTGTGTTTATCCAGACTCAGCGGGTGAGAGCAGCGGTGCTAAAGTCACACCTCAGGCCATTAAAACGGAGTCTGGATATGAGGCCCCCAACATCAGGTGTCCAACAGAGAATCTGACGTGCCAAAGTTCTCACACAAGACAACATAAAGGAATCTTAATTGAGACCCAGCCCTCCTTTGAAGACAACATCAGTCAAAGTCAGATTACCTTTAGTTCTAAATTAAATTCAGTTCGGTTTTTCCCGTGTACTTGAAGTAAAGATGGGAAATTACCAAATATAACAATAAAAAACATATTTTTAGGTTTTAAATATTTAAATGATAATACAACTATAAATAACAAGGGGTACAGAAAGCATAAAAAATACTTTTATATTAAGATGTTAAAATAACCATAACAAAATGAAGATAGACTTATAATTGTAGCACATTAGTTAACTGAAGACCCGTAGATAAAACAAAGTCTTCCGTAATACTTTAAAAAAGGACATTGACTATGCTAATCTGAGATCCTATTTGAGGGAATTCCCAAGTTTAGGGTCCCAAACAGCTACAGCCGGATCACTTTTAATCTGTTTTCACATATACACTCATGATCATTTTAGGAGGACTGCGCTTCACAGCTGGAGGCTATCCCTCTCAGATGGGAGGGGTAGCGGGGGATCTTCTGAGCAAGAAGTGACGTAAAAAAAATGACCCAGGAGTGGTAGACAAAGCAACAGAGTCAGCTATACGATGCTATAATAAAAATATTTGTCTCCATATCAATGCCATGTGTAGCTCATTGGAATCCCAATATCAACAAATAAACCAGTCCAATGCCATATTGTGGATTCCCAACAAAAAATGTCAGATGGTTAATTCAAATGTTTTGGTAGCCCCTGTCAAATGCTGAGCTAAATTCAAGAATAATTGAAACAGAGCAGGAGGTCATTAGAGACCTTAACCACAGTAGTCTCTGTGCCATTGAGAGAACAAAAACCTGATTGGATCTGTCATAAATCACAGTCATAAAAGAGGTCAGTTGTGCAGAGACAATTTTCTCTAAGATTGTGGATAAGAATGGACGCTTGGAGATCTGTCTAAAATTGATATTTTAAAATCACTGACGGACTGTTTCCAAAGAAGGGCATAGACAGTGGCAGGTTTAAAATGAGAAGGAAATACACTTTTGGTTGAAGAACTATTTACAGTGAAAAACATATCTGTGGCAGCTTTTCTCAACAACCCTAAAAACCATGTAAGTCTGCGCAGGTGGAGAATTTGCTTTGACAGAATCGAATCAGAGATTCACAGCATATTGATATGGAAGAATTTACATTACTACGATTAGTTTCTTATTCTTCATTAGTTCAAGAAAGTCAGCAATCAGATTAATAACAGTGGTGTGTTGTGACGCATGTTGGACAAGGTTCAAGTTTTCCTTCAGATTCAATTGATATGATAACTATATTAAAAAAACGACAGTGGGACAGTGGGAAACTGCTGCAATAGCAGTCGATAATGACAGGTACTCCATGTATTTAGGTGAATTGAGGTGAACTATCTGACATAACATAATTTTTAGGAAATTATTAAAATATACCAAGTTCCAGTAAGTGGTTAAACCAACATGATTAAATACTGTGAACTGGAAGTTGTCAAGGTAGTTGCTTCAAGTCAGGACTCATTTATTTTTGAGACACTAAGTTTTAAGGTTGTCAAGCAAACCCCCAGGTTTGTCAACATCATTCAAAACTGACAGACACTTCTTCTCAACTGCAGTGCTTTTTTTTCTTGTAATTGTTTCTGTTGTTCTGTGCACCCACTGTAGATCTGCTGTGGGGTTCATCGCTTGTTTATGAGTTTGCTTGAGCATTCACTATCCACGTTATTTCTACCATAAACACACCGATGATCTTTAGAGTTATAAATAGTTTTCATGGGGTTGACTGATTTTCCATGCCTGGTCTTATCTTAAGTAGCAGATGAAAAAGTGTATAGCCTCTTATAGTAGGTGTAGTGGTACGGTTGACACTTAAGTCCTTCCAGAGAGGGTTACTGAATCTCCATGGCCTGATAAGGGCTGTGCAGAGGCTGACACTTAAAAAAAGAGGAGAGGCTTCAGTGGTAGGAATGCTTAGAGAATGGAAAAAGGGAACTGACTGCCTATTGGATCAGCTGCAGCAGCTCTCCTCTAGACAGGTTGTAAACTCATCTTCATAGCAGCTGAGGTGACTCACAGCTCCAGCAATCTGACACAGCAGTCCACTAAATGTTAACATACATACTTGAATGCACATTTAAGTGATCATTTTTTAAAATATAAAAACACCCCGTGTGAGGTTAACATTTACAAATAAGTAATTGTTTTTAAAGTAACCCCCTCCACAGCTCCATAACCCTACAGACAGCTCTATACATTTTTAACAAACTCAGAATACAAATGGAAAATGACAAAGTGAATTCATGTTCAGAAATATCATTACATTCAAAAAACTTTTTAAAGTTTTTTCAAGAAAACTATTCACAATCAGAAACTATTGTTGATATTGTTGCCCATGAAGTTGAAGACAAATGTTTTAATGCCCCTCTTGAAGCCTACAGGATTTCTGTGACTTCGTTTTAGAATCAGGGTTTAAAAAAAAAATCAGCAATTAGTATCTTTTGTTATTTGTAGATTTTGGTGGCCACTGCAGACAAAACGTTGTATCTCTTTAGTGTTATTGTCCTGTACATGCACTCAATAATGTCCAAGAAAAAATCTGTCTCTGCACCCCTTAAATGGCAAACATACCATTCACTTTCAAACTTTGCAATGAAACAGACAAACATAGGCTCTTCTGAGTTTTTTTGCTCAATCCAGGATAATAGGATTAATACCACTCATATTTTTCCATTCAATAAAAGGTTACAACCAAAAATCTGTTAGCTTAGCCTAGCATTACTATACAAACCCTGGCAGTGTGTGATTGGTGGATTTTCTCTCTTTAAGACACTGACAAGCTGACTAATTTTTTCCAATGTTTTTTGCAAAATCCTAAGCTTATCTGCTAGTTGTAGCTTCTTCATTCAAACAATCCACCAATTGATTAAATATGTATGGGGCCAATTTAATAGCAAAATGTAATGTCAAGACACTTTACAAAAAGAGCAGGTCTTTGTTATAGAATGTATACAGACTCAACATGAATTGACCTTGGAAACAATTAGCAAAGTAACAATGGCAAGGAAAAACTGCCTTTTAATATACAAACAAATGTTGAACAGCCTTTGTGTTGGCCGTGTGTAACACTGCTGACATTGGACAACAGCATCTGTCATTCAAATCCTGAGCCAATTGGATGCAGTCTGCAGCCAACAGGCATCTACCCCCTTTCCCCAGGTGCACTAATCACCTGATTGAAACCAATCAAGGAGTCAGTCAGAAGGCAGCAGGACACAGTCAAGGAGAACTTCTGAAAGAAAAACACTGTGCTTTTCAACCCTGGACATAAAGCTGGACTTAACTGAACTGAGACTTCAAGCCCTTGAGGAGCTGCTGTGCTGCTGCTGAGGAGGAATTTCAGGACTGAACACTGGTGAGACATCCACAATAGAACATTGATTAAATTGCTGCTCCCAAGTTGAGCAGACGTGTGATGTTGTTACCTGTTTGCCTAAACAGGTCAGGCCATATTGCCGGAGCAAAGAAGATGGCGAGCTAAAGGAGCAACTTCAGAAGACTCAAGATTCCCTCAAAAGGCAGGCCTCAAGCCTGGCTGTCTGGTTAAAGGGTGTGGTAGGATTTCCCCTATCTAAATAAACATTTGAGTTCGTTGGACATCTGCACACACATAACAAATAACTGCAGTACATGTGTTTTGGTGCATTGATTTATACAAATAGAATTGGGAATATTTAGCATATGTTGTATGAAGGATAAAAAGTGCCCTTAAGAGTCTGTTAATTGAAGGCCTATTTTCTTTTATTTAAATTGTGGGATTTTCCTTGAATAAGTTAGTGTTTTTTGTTATTTGTTAAAAATTGAACTTTGAAATACAAAACCGGTTATCAGCATTCTGTGTCGTGTGTTTAATTAATTCTCCACCAGCTTTCCATTTTGTACTACAATCAAAGCTATTTTTTCATGGATAAAAATATAGTTTTAGTAGCTTTAACCAACTTAACTTGGTTATAACAAACATACTTGTGCTCACTCAAACACAAATCCAACATAAAACATCCCAGTCCTTACAAACTGAGGCCAAGAGTCTAACCTACATTAGCCCAGTACACCTTAATTTGTTACAGCTTGTTTTTTTTTCATAATTTATTATTTCTAAATACATATTTTAGTTAAAGTAAATTTTGTATCCTGAATGTTACATGTGGAAAGAGGAATAGAGGGAGATTCAGAAAGAGGTGGATTGAGATTTAAGGACCTGACACACCAAGCAGACGGCAAAGCACTACTGGCGACAAAGGCTGCCTGTGGCATCGCCTCATGTTGCCTCACGTCTTGGCCAAAAAGTTGCACTAGAACACATCACAAAGACTACAGCTGACCGCCAACTACCACGTATGTTCTGTGCATGCAGCGGTAGTCCGTTGTTATGATACGAGAAGACCATTTTCACACCGCTGTCCCGCACCGCTCGAGGTAGCCTACTAATCGTTAATAACGTCTGATTAAAAAGCCCTTGGTCTTTTGAGACAAGGAAGCTCAGGAACTCCTAGAAGATTTATGGTTGGTAACTTAAATTGTAGCCTACATGGATACAAAAGTTAGTGACATGCAGCTATAAGTTAATGCATACTGAAAGAGCTAGAGAGAGGAAGGCTCAGAATGCCAGATCCCCTGTCAGGCTAAGCCTATGGTAGCATAACTAGGAGCTAGCCTGAGCCAGCCCTAATGTTAAGCTTTATCAAAAAGGGAAGACTACTCTTAAAAGTGAAGAGTGTCTGCCTCCCATACCCTGACTGGTAGATGATTCCAAAGGGCCTGATAACTGAAGGCTCTACTTCCCCTATACATTCTGAGACCGTAGTTGATAAAAGCAGGCCTGCTTTCTGGGAGCCTAATGTTCCAGAGGAAATACTGCACTGTAAGCTCTTTAAGATATGATGGTCCCTGACCATTAAGAGCTTGATAAGAAGAATTTTAAATTCTGTTCTAGGTTCTTGTTTCCTTTCATCATTCAGAATTTAGTCAATTTTGATGTCCAACCCTTGGAAAGAAAACTAAACAGCATAGTTATTAAGATGTTGAACTTTATGAATTAATGTTAAGAGCTATAGTTATAAATGGTTAAAATTTAATCAAAAACACTTAACTTCTGACACTGTTTATATTTTTTTTGAGTTTCTGTCCTTAACTACAACACATATTTGCAGCCTTTACACATGTTTCTGTTATTGCAATCATTACAAATTTAAATTAAACTCATGCAATGGGTTTTCCACATTTTCCTAAAACTGTTAAATTACCTCTATGGGCAATCATTTGACAAATTTCCCCAACTCAAAGCTCTGGGTAATTTGCATTGTGTATATTTGTCCTGTGTTTGTATGTGTATTGGGGGAGTGATAGTTCATTGGTTTGAGTTTGAGCAGAAGCAGCCACAGGTGTGAATGCCATGAGACTGAGGTCAAGAAGGGTAAAGTGAGAGTGTTCAGCTGTCTGCTTGGATCACTGTGAAAGAAGAGTATGTTGGGAAGGTACCAGGCAACAGTGTATAGTGAGCCTAGCAACAAACACTGTTAGCAACACATCCTTTAATGTTTGTGTGTGTCTTCTCTGAAGAAGACTGAAATATAGTGAATACAATATGTTTGCAGATGCAGGGAAAATAACTGGTGCTCTTAAGTTGTAGGAGATGTTTTAGATTTTGGTCCAACCGGCGAGTGCTTGAGTTCAAACTTGTGAGGACAGTTATCACACCTGAAATCATCTTTATTTCATTTCTTACAGTGTATTGCTCCATTTCGCAACAGTGCAAAATTAAATATTTTAAGGTTTCTCGTCAATAAATAAAGGTAAACAATTATCACCACATCGCAGACAAATGAAAAAAGAAAGCCACTGTCACTTTGAAATTGCACACATGGATTTAAGATAGCAATCTTATTATTTACAGTTGGAAAAGCAGAATGGAGGCGAAAGTGTTACGTGGTTTTGTGTGCCTTTCTCTTAAAACCTCTACTCCACCAGCCCCTATTCTACTGGGTCCTCTAAAGAAATAAAAAACAAGGTAGTTTCACAGACAGAATAGGATCAACAAAATCCTTTAAAATAAGGTAAAAAAAGGTAACTTCTCAGAAGTTTGGAATGGTAACACTGCGCTACACATGAACTGAGCTGAACCTGGTTGTTATTAGCTGAGAGGAAAAGACTCAAAGTGATCATTTCTTTTAGAAATCAACCGCCATATATCCTCGAGCCAGTGTTTTTCATGCTTTATTGTGTCTAGTTTAACTGTGAGTTGGATACGTTTCAACAATGAGGTAATTTAACACCCCACTTGATAGAGTGAGGTATGGAATATGACAGCACCAAGTGTCAACAGCATTACTCATTTTTGTTTAGTGTTGGAATACTTCTGGTAAACAAGTACAAACACCTCCATGTCTATTTAGAAATAGTTAAGAAGGGTTAAAGACAACACAGTCATTTCATACACTGGGCAATGGTCTTGCAAGTAACTCAAGTGTTTTGGACAAATGTATTGGATATTATGTACAGGCTCATGTGAGATCTGGATTGTGGCAGTGAAGAAACATTACGAAATGCAACTAAAATGCTGCATTTCAAAATGCAACATTCAGTCTTCAAAACCTGGAGAAACGTTCAGCTCAGCCAAACAGAACAACCACCTCTCTCACATTTAAACATTCTTTGTCATTTCTGTTGACAAAATGAACATCACACACCTAAATAAATATATTAAAAAACACTCTTAAATAGGGATATGTCTGACCTGTTTCCTTCACTAAACATCTTTAAAACAGAATATACTATAATATGTACATTTTCATAAATACATATAGTTTAACATATAGTTTTTTTTTTACAAAAGCAAAACATCCAAACTCATTTACAGTTCTGAGGGCCTAACTTTTCAATATTGTTAGTGTCCATGCTCTCGCAGTGCAGAAAGGGTTTCTAGCATTACCTCCTACTGCCACCTAGTGTGACATAGCAGCACTATAACATTTTAGCCTCCTGTTAGGAGTCAATGCCGAGATGTAAACATGCATGATATAACCAGTCAAAAGCTACATTCCAAAATTAAAATCATTCAGTGTATCTTTTTTGTACATTATTGCAAAAAAAGAACAAAAAAAACAAACAACTGACATCCAAGGAAAACTCTTGCAGAGGACAACCGTTACAATACATATGACAGAGTTAAGTGTCCACCACATTACACGATGAGTGTGTCAAACACTGCAGTGGTTTATAAAAAGTGGGACTGGAGGAAGGATAAGTGAGTGTAAATACATCTTTATCAAGGAGTGGGAGCAGGTATCTGCATGGTGGAGTTGTTCATTGGAGACCTCATACTGTGCAGTCAATAATAAATGACAAACTTGGTAAAGAACAGCCTTAATGGTTTGACCATTAAATAAGATCAGGGGGAAAAACATGGTAGAATATTCATAATTTGTCTGGCTCCTGCTAACTATTATTTAAAATTTAATGTTTTTTGTGTTTTGAGATCAAGGGCACTGCTTATTACAATTTAACAATAATAATCTATGTTTTAATTCCTTAGTTATTTTAAATTTAAGGTCAAGATATAAACCATAGTCGACCAGCCTTTACCAAGAGAACCACGTATTCTGGAGGGTACTGTAGCAGAAGTGAGTTAGGAGCCATCTAACCGCTTTCTCCTCCCTCCATGTATTTACCTGTCCACTCCCATCATCCTCCTCCACCCCATCTCAAACTGAGCAGTTGCGTCTCTTCCCAGAGCCAGTCTGGGCTGTAGCAGCAGAGGCTGAAGTCAGCCAAGGGGTGACCCCGTGTCAAAGGCTGGTGGAGGAAACCGAGAGGGTGGGTGAGGAGGGCGGTGGGAAGTTCAGCAGCTCCAGCACAGCCACGCCTACGCTGCTGCGCCTTGTGAACATGCAGGAGGCAGCAACCCACTTGTTACTGCGAGGGTTGTACTTCTCGATGGAGTTGAGACTGGAACTGCCATCGTTGCCTCCCACTGCATATAACCAGCCATCCATTGCCACAAGATCGTGGGTGCTCCTGGCAGAATTTAAAAAAAAGAATTCAGTATTTAAAGCTGTGTTCACAAATGCACTACTGCCATCAGCAAACAAAGTAAAGTCTAGTGTCACCTTTTCAGTGATATATAGTGCAAACAGAGTTTATTTGTGGGGATTGACAGGAATCAGTTGTAGGTCCTAAACTAAGTTCATTACTAAAAGCTGTTAATCTATTCTGCACTAATATGTTCTCTGCTAGATATACAAAATTAAAGTCAATTATACTGTTTATGGGGATGTGGCATAGTGGTAGAGTCGGTTGTCCAAGTGTCCTTTGAGACCTGAATCCTGAATCCTGAATTACTCCTACTGCAGCGCCATGTGAATGAATGATAAGTTTAAACTGATGGGCACTTCACATAGCAGTCTATGCCATCAGTATGTGAATGTGGTGTGAATGGGACCTGTAGTGTAAAAGCAGCTCTGAGTAATTAAGAAGACTAGTGAAGTGCTATACAAGTCCCAGTCCATTACATTTTATATTATCAAAGATTGCATTGATAGAATTAGAAGTATGTTGAATGTAAATCGCTTCCAGATTGGAAAATGATTCAAATTTTTTAATTAAAAAATAAAATGTAGCATTTATAGCAGTAAAATGAAATGAGCACAACTTCAAACTCCACCTCGGGCACTAGAATGTGACAATGATACATCACTTAATTATTAATCAAAGTAGAGGACTAGTGGAAAAGAAAATTGGTTGTTGGCAGAGACAGTTCTTTTACTGGCATCAAAAAGGATTAAAAAAAAGGGTTAAAAAAACCTTTTTAATGTCAATTTTATTAATTATAGTGAGGTTAATTCAGCCAAGACAAGTATTATACATTCAACTTTTGCAGTGCACATCTAAAAAATTATTAAGAATAGTGATAAATTAAATGAGATCAATATATGACGTGATGTTTCGGATGTTCTGTGTAAATGGACCCTCTACGCAACGTGATAAGAAAAGCACTCAACGCCACACAGCTGATTAGAACATGGGTTATTCATAGGGCTGCAAAGTTAACTGTTGTCAGGTTTCTCTGCTCATGAAGCATACTGACGCTCATACATACACATACTGAAAACAAAATGTGTTTGTGTGTGTGAGTATCTAGGGGCCTTGGGAACAGGTGACTTTGCTGGTTTTGTCTTTAAACAAAGACTGTTACATCTCTAAAGACGTTGTCACGTATGCAGCACTCCGTAAAATGTCTAGAGAATTTCATTAGGACTGCCCATGGAATCTTCCTGATGTGGTTGTTCACACATACACGCACCTCACAGAGACTATCCCTGTTGTACGAGGGGGTGGGGGGGTTTCCTGAAGCAATAAGCGTTATTCACAATAAGGCACGTAGCTGATCTGATTGACAGGCAGGCTTGATGTGAAACCTCACCTCAGCTCAGCTCCCTAAGTCCTTTATGAACTCTCCTAACATATTTCCTTAACCTCATGACATTTTCCCGGGGTTAAGGTGAAGTGGATAGTGAAAGGGGATAGGAGGGACAATTCGGATGCACATTTAGGGATTGAAACCGACTCTAGACCAATACCAAGGCGAGACCAAGTCAAGACCAAGACCATAAATATCAATGAAAAATCATCATCCAGTGTGCCGCAGGCGCGTCACTCACTTAGACTGTAACACCAGGGAGGTTGCGGCCGTAACCGGGGGATACAATTCTAATTTTGAATGAATTGAAGATTTTTGTTCTTTTCAAAAGGGGTGTTTTCCTTCACAGTAATGACGTGAAAATAGCCAGTCGGGGGTGGTCTCAACTGGTCTTGATTTAAAACTTGGAATCCGCCCAGCGTGAGACTGAGACAAGACCCGAGTAAAAATGCTTTCGATTGCGAGACAAGACCAAGATCTTCAAAAAGTGGTATTGAGACCATGACCGATGAGTACTACAACACTAGGTTTAGACTGCTTTTTCAGCTGTAACAGATGGGTGATGTCACTCAGGCATCGTACATTAATATTTAGTCTATGATCCTGCTGCATTCTCCCATCAGCTCACTCAGACTTTCTGCAGAAAAATACTATTGGGCTGACAGGAGAAACTAGGCGTGAGGTCTGAGTGAAAAATATGGCTGTTTGCATTTACACATGCATCTCCCACTGAAAAGTTGGCACTTTCAGACATGTTGTTATTTACTTCTTGTAAGCCATCTATGGCTAACTAGCCAGCCAACTCATGCTAACATTATTTTCATAAAAGGTAAAATGTCAGATTCTTGTGAGATTGAAGATGCTGAGCACAATATGGAGAAAAAGGCAGCAACACCTCAGTAAACTGAGTCATGACTTTAGAATCAAGCCATCGACCCGTTAGTGTTTCACTCTTATCAGACCTCTGTGTACTGATGTACACACATAATAATCAATTACTCATTGGATCGGTGAATCCCCCCTTTTCATTTTGTTAGTGAAAATATGAATTCTTGGGAGTAGACTTACCTTCGTATGTTCATTGGGGCCACTCCCTCCCACGTGTTGGTCTTTGGGTTGAACCGCTCAACAGAGTTTAGGCAGCTGGTGCCATCATTTCCTCCAGCAACGTACAGCATACCGTCCAGCACTGCAACCCCGGCACTGCTGCGCCTACTCAGCATGTTGGCAATGGCTGTCCACGTGTTGCTCTGTTTTTTTTTTTTTAAATCAAGACAACGAGCATTGGTCACATGTTCATAGATCCATCCACAGTGTAAGACCTTATCTTCATTTTGGGTTTATCTTGACAACAGACAAGTTCGATGGTAAATTCAACAGCACATAGTTTACCTGAGGGTCATATTTCTCCACCGTTGCAAGATGTGAGGAGCTGTCATAACCTCCCACTGCATACAAGCTGCCATCTGGAGAAAGAGAAAGGGAGTAAAACATTTAGAATGTAAATATTAGCTGCCCAATACCCAGCTGGTAACTCCCTCATAGTTTTACACATTGAAATGTAGACAGTGGAAACGTAAACATGCTGAGAACAGAATGTGCATAAAAACATGTTGTAAGCCTCCTACCCAAAGTTGCTACTCGAACATATCTCCTACGGGTGCTCATAGCAGCGATTGAGGTCCATGTACTTGTCAAAGGGTCATAACGCTCTGCACTAAAAGAAGTAAAAACACACAATGACACTGCAGAGCTGCCCAATCTATATAAACCCTTCCACACCTGGCTTAGGAAATAAACACCAAACAAGCTGGGATGAGTCACAACAATGTTACTAATGTAGCTTTAAGTATTGTGATATTTCACATTCACCAAACATCATTCTGTGTGTACCTATTAAGGCAGGAAGCACCATCATAACCTCCAGCAGCATACAGCAGCCCATGAAGGACCGCTACACCCAGACAGCTCCGCCGCGTTCCCATGGAAACCTCAGGCTGCCAGGAATTAGTGATGGGGTCATAGGACTCTACGGTTGCGAGGTCTGAGGTGCCATCGTACCTGAGGATTTGAATCACAAAAGGCTTTTGGACGACTGAAAGTGGCAAATTGGTGCCTCAAATCACCTCTGAATAGAAATGCAACAAATGACAACTGATAAACAGTCAAGTTAAAGAAGCATTTTTGCGTCACAAATTCACACTGCAAGCCTCAAACAGCTTCCCAAAAAAATAATTAGGGCCTTTGTCCACAGACGGCATTTTTTGTGCTTTTTAATACAAAGCCAATGTAGTTCAGCGTTTACTCAGCGTCAGCTGTTTTTTGACGCAACAATAGAGAAGGAGATGCTAGTGGACTTGTCTTTTGAGGGTACATTTTCCAGGCCTAGATCTGCTGCTAATGCCAGAAAATGACTCCTTTACATTGTTTTTATGTTTTTTTTGGTGATATCTCCATGATTGAATGCAAATATTAAGCACATGGAGCTATCTAAAACACACCCAACAGTCATTACCAAGGGAAGCTGAAGTAAACTTTTGTTACCTAGCAACAATGAGCACTTGTGAGAAGCACTCTGAAATGGAAGTTGTGGGCACTGTCAGCACAAAAAGTGCTGTCTCTGGACACAAGCCCTTACACAAACACTGCTCAGGAACATTTGACATATCAATCACCCACCTGTCGAGGCTTTCTCTTTAAAGCCAGTTTGTCTGACATCATGATTCATATCACACTAAAATGTTTCTGTTACTCACCCTCCAACAGCATAGAGTCTGTTCCCTATGGCTGCCACTCCCACCCGTGCCCGCCGAGTGGACATGGATGCCACCATGTGCCAGCGATCTGTCCTGGTGTCGTATGCCTCACAATCTCCATGGATGGCAAACAGGCTCCCACCGCCTGCAGAAACACACATACAAAAAATATGGTAAAAATATACTTTTAACAAGTAACCTAAATAAAGCTATGTGTACCCTAGAGGGTACCTTCAGGGGCACACTGACCAACGGCGAAGAGCACAGGGCTGGCGCCCTCACAGCGTCGTGGGCGTGTACGGCTGTTGCTGAGAACTCCCCTCTGCTCAGGCATCAGGTGGTACTTTAGAGCCTCAATCAGCAGGTCCTTACACTCAGAATGATGACGCACCAGCAGCTCTGTATCTACGTTACTCATCAGAAAGTCTCTCCTCAGCAGTGGCAGTCGCACACACTTCATCAGCTAACAAGGAGAAAGAGATGGTGGGTCAGGGTTAGAAGCAGAGGAATGTAGGAAACAGGATGCAGGTAATTTCCGATAGTGTAAAAAAAACTAATAATCTATTAGAAATCCTGATGAGACAAGTCCTACCCAAGGCACATGTTGCCTGCGTCCATCTATATCATGTTTCACCCAGCTCAACACAGCTCGGTAAACTTCCTCCTCAGATGGCACGTTAAGATTGTCACTGGAGATCAAATCCAGGACCTAAACATAGAAGACAAAGCAGACAGGCAGAGGCACGTTATATAACCATTTAAGAGTAAGATAATAAAAGTTACGAAAATAAATAATTTTCAACATCACCACCAAACATATCAACACACAGGAAGAAGATTGTGTTGCCACATACTGTACATTATTATTATTTTATATTGTTTTGACTAAACTGCTGCATCTGGTCTTCCTCCTCGCTCCCCCCACCCTTGATTTAGTGTACTCTACCAGGCTCATTTTTTAAAGGGACAGGCAGCTCTCCATTTTGTCTTGGTCATTTAATAGAATACATGAGTTTGAGAGCAAAATCCTTTCGGGCACTGTTTTCAACTTTCATTATTTACACACATGCATGTGTGTATATTTTTGTCCACTAGTGTGTAGTCTGGCTGTGATATATTAAAGTTAACAAAATGTGTGTGTGTGTGTCTGTGGCACAATGAGTGCTGCAGTCTAAGAGGCTGGCTGGCACTATTCCCAGATCAACCCAAAGCTGGCAGGGCAGGGTGGGGCTGGAGCAGCCAGCTGCTGCTGCCGTCTTACACGGCCAGATCAGGGCAACAGTTAGCAGCCTCCCAGGAACAGCCTCCACTAATCCAGTCACATAGAGAAAATCTGTTGTGCTGCTGCTGCTGCTGCTGCTGCTGCTGCTCAAGCCTGCAAGCTCATTTTCCCCTGTGTAAATACTGCATCACATTAACTGAAACAAACATTGGTCTGCTTTTGAAGATGTATGATAAATCAGTTTTTGCAGGTGTATTAACTGTCCTCATTGTAGAGCAGCAGGAGATGGGGATAAATGAATAGGGGATGGTTAATATGTCTTCATATTCAAACCCTGTCATGGGGCTGATGTCTTTTAAATGTTAATCATGTGATGCTTAGTCAGTGAAACACAAAAGCAGACTAGTCACAGCCCCACTATACCTGGCCACTGAACATGGAGAGAAATATATGGCACATTTTACATTTTACAGCTCTGTGAGCTCAGAGTCCTTTGGAGAGGCCAGTACATACAGTGAATCCAGATCTGGTGCAGACTTATGACAAACACAGGACAGCTGTAGACAGAACTGGGTGTTGAGTCAAAGAAACTAGAGAGAAAAGAATAGGAACAAAAAAAATAATAATTTTAATTTCAATCTACCTTTATGCATCTTAACTTTCTCCGTTTTAATGGGATGTGCCCACACACTCCAATTAAAGATTCAGTTTCATGGCTTTGAAAGCTACACAGAGAGAAAATGAGGCTTGGCATTTTACTCCCATGTAGCACTATCTCTTTGGTTCTGTGGGGATTTGTTCTTCAGAGAGAAGATGATGGGGAAAGTGATGCTCGCAGCGGTTTGTTGCTTCTTTTCAGAGACGCTTGAATTCATTGTCACCATTCTTTGCTTGAAACAGACACCATTTTGGAGAAGACATGATGCAGTTTTCTCCTTCATTATGATACAAACATAAAACTCAACTACACCTTTAATTTCTTTAACTGGTTGTGAACCATGCATTTGAAATGTATTGTTATGTATGGGCTGTTTTATGTAATTTTGTAAACATTGAGGAATATTCACAGTGCTTGTTACCCTTGATCTACTTGACCCCTGTAATATCAAACATGACTCTCTGCAACTGAGTCAACTTTCTGGCCACACCAACCAAACTTTATAGGTTATTTTAACAAACAGTCAAACATTTCTTTTAAAAAAATAAGAGCAAAAACCCAAAAGCTCAGATTTCTGTTGCTCTTTAAACAGCAGCAGTTGTGAAAATATCACTAGCTTTACCCAATTCCAACTTCCAAGACAGGATTGGTGCCACTGAGCCCAGCTGAGCATTAAGTCACAGTTGGCGTGCAGGATAAAGTAGTCCATGGTGGCACAATGGGATGATAAAAACATAAGAGACAGTGATTGATGCAGCCAGCTGAAGAGGGACAGACATCCTCCTGATTAATGTTTATGACACTAGGTATACTTTGGCCACTTCCTTTAATAGAACGATAAAAAAACAAAAGGTTTGGACACCTGCAAGTGTGCTCACGGGTGAGGAGAAAGTTGTGAACAATGTGCAGAAATACACACAAGAAATCGTCTTTGTTTTACTGTATGTTCAATCTTATCACGTGTTATATATTTCTATGCCACTGTAGGAATGACTTAAAAGAGAGCCACTTAGGTTTGATAAGAAGTAACTCATAAACCAAATTAAAACAATAGTTTCCCATGAATTTAAAATATTTTCATTATCTCATGTCAGATCTCTCCACCAGTGAGGACGGTAAATGAACACTAAATAATAATAATACATTGTTTTTTTATAGCGCTTTTCTAAGAACTCAAAGACGCTTTGACAAAATATAAAACCATAAAACAAAACAAAAAACGACGAGGACAGTACAATGAAGAAGTAATGTAGGGGGGGAGGGGGGGAGTTAGTGGTTGTAGGCAATGTTGAAGAGGTGACTTTTGAGGGATTTCTTGAAGGAGGTGAGTGTGGGGGAGTCTCTGATGTTTTTTGGGAGTGAGTTCCAGAGGGTGGGAGCAGCAACAGAGGAAGCCCTGTCCCCCCAGGACCGATAGAACAGGAGGTTTGCATCTGCAGACCTGAGAGTGCGGGTGGGAGTGTGTCGGTGGAGGAGCTGAGACAGGTAGCGGGGAGCCAGGTTGTGAAGTTGATACGCTGGGGGATGGGGACCCAGTGGAGGTCATGAAGGACGAGGGTGATGTGGTCTCTGGTGCGGGAGTGTGTGAGGAGACGGGCTGCGGAGTTCTGAATGTATTGGAGTTTCTTGAGTGAGTGTGAACCCTAAGTTTCTACTCTATCATCCAGGGCCCTCGTTTATCAACTGTGTGCAGAAATATTCTAAAATCTGTCTTATGAATGAAATTGTAAATGTGATTAAGTACAAAAAAAAAAGTATTTATCAAACATGACAGCAGACAGTGGTCGTTCGCACATCAATAAATAATCTGTGTTGATAAATCCAACATGTTCATAACCAGCAGGCTCGTGCATGTACAGGGATATTTGCATTATGAAACACCCCATTTAATACCATGTGAATTTTTACCTCCCTTGGATTGTAAAGAAAAAGCAGCTTGATAGATAAAAAAAAATGGTTAAAAAAAAGAAAGGTTAGTAATTTGGTTAGTGAATCAAAGTAACTATTAGTTTGTTCACTTAGTAGGCTGCTAACAAGAGAAAACATGCTGAATGGAGAAGGTGATAAACGCTGTAGCTTCTGCTGGTTCAGAGGAGAAAACACTTCATGTAAACAAAAACAAGAGGTTTGATGATGGAGGATAACGGAACACCGCAACATTTTCACCCTTGGGCAGCACCTTTTCCGCAAAATCGGCAACGCAGCTCTTTCTGGGAAAACAATCAAGCTGTGACGATCTCAACAAGCTGGAAAAAACAGATCAGCACGCTCTGTTGAAACACCCTACAGTACCTGAGGAGGGGACTCTTTGCCAATTCTTTTAATAAGGCAAAATGAGCCTTCATATTACATTTCAAATGTCTCACCTGTCACAGCTGTCTTTTCAAGGTTTTGATACCAATTAGGCTACGTGTCTATTTCAATTTTACAAAATGACTGTGGCTCAGTTGGTAAAATCGGTCATCTATCAAACGGAAGGTTAGGGGTTCGATCCCAAGCTCCTGCAGCGACATGTCCGATGTGTCCTTGGGGAAGACACCTAACACCAAATTGCTCCCGCTGTTTGGACGGCCGTGTATGAGTGTGTATGGATAGGTAGTTAGTTACTACTGATGGTCACTTTACATAGCAACCTCTGCCATCAGTTTGTGTTTCAATGTTTTACCACTAGATTATGTGCCTAAGCATGGTCAGAACTGTGCTTATATGTATGAACATATGAAGTATACAAGTCATTTAATACCACACTTTGCGTGGGAACGTTCTTACGCACACATCCGTGCATATGCACTGTTGATAAATGAGGGCCAAGGGTTCCCAATAGTCACTGAGCACTGAGCATAGCAACACACCTAAACTGCCACCCTTTAAGTTTTTCTTTACACATGAGACAACATGAGACAGAAAAAGCATCCTCTACCTGTTTCAGTGGCAGCAGCATGAACTCTTCGGTCTTGGAAACCTCCACGAAGTGCTGTAGGACATACTTGTGTGCAGACTTTAGCAGGTCGCTGCAGGAGTGCGTGTCAGCGAATCCTCTGATGCCCAGGCAATTGGAGGGGTCTAGCTGACTGAGGAGGAACTTGCAGCAGGCGTCCCGCACCCCATTGAGCTGCAGCAGGCTCGCTGCTGGGAGCAACGTCTGGGCAGAGAGCAATTTCAGTTGGACATAAGTCAAAAGCCTGATTGTGCTCTATCAAATTTGTTGATTGAGAGATTTTTTTTAACCATCCAGTCAGGTGAACTGGAATCTTTGATCCTACCTGCACATTTCCCTCCCCGACAACAATCTCAGCGGTGTAGGCATACTGGACCAGCTGTTCTAAAGCCTGAGAGTCGATGTCGTGTAGGGTCACATGGGTCTGACGACTCTCTGACATCTCATCTGCACGACCACACAGAACAAGAGCAGTTTTATTTTTCTACAAGTTATAACCAGCCAATCTTTTGCTAAATCAATTGCCTCCCTGTTCAGTCATGCTGACACATCAAATATTCTAATGTATATAGTACAGCTGTCCACATCTGCTGCTGTCCATTTAATCAAATGTTGTGTTTGGATGTTTGTGAAATTCTTGAATACAGTCGAGCCGAACCCTTGGTGTGCTAGCAGAAGTCTGTATTCGGAGGCTCTACATTAACAGTCAAAAATTCCAGTGCTTATTAGTAACAATAAATTGTTATTTTTGGATTTTGCTGTGTGGATAATGATGAAAGATCAGCGGAATCTGTTACGTTGGCTAATTAAGGACTGGGTCAGACAAAGTGAAGTAATGCAGCTGAGTCTCAAGGCCAGACTACTGACTGTCTGGAGACACAATGTATCATAACAAAGGTCCAGTGTTAGGACGAATGTGGGACTCAGACTTAATCTGACCACCTGTGCCCCAGACAAGAATACAGGGAAGGAAGCGATGACTCTGAAAGTAGGAGGTTGTGTTCACTGTACACATGAGTTGTTGTGGCATTAAACTCGGAGCATTGGAGCAAAATGATTTACAGCTTAAAGCCAAGGCTAAAAATGTCTGTGGCATAAAACACAGTGTGCTTTTGGGATTTCAGGGATAAGATATCAAAGTGGAGTGAAAACAGGTGGTGTGTATGGAAACAAAATGATGCACGACACTTACTCGTAAACATAGCGTGGAAGTAGGGGCTGCAGGATGCCAGCACCACTTTGTGTGCCTTGATTTCTTTGTTGGAGACATGGAGCACAATGTCACACAGCAAACCACGCTGCCGCATCCTGTTCATGGACACGAATGAGTCGTGGTAGTGGCGCTTTGAGTTGTGTGAGATGCTATGGCCATCCCGGTTGAGCAGCTGCATGCCCCCCTCCATCATTGTGCCGAATGTGGCGGTTGAGGGCTCTTGCCTTGGCCACACTCTGGGCGACTGAAACATACAGAAAATCAAGTTAGTTAATACCAATGTCATTGATGTATGAAAATGTCTCATTAGTTTATCTGTAGCGGTGAAGGTTTTATGACAGTTGTCAAGGGCAATCCCATTCATTGTATCTGCTGTTACAGTTTTAGGATTCATTCTGACAGCTATGACAAGAAGCCTACCAGGGTGACAAGAGTCACAAACAGTAGGTCACCTTACCTATTTGTTTGTTTTTTACATTAAGTGTCGAGACTATAAATTGTGTTAGTGAGACAACAGAGAAGATGTACATTTTTCTGACCAGCTAGTTGAAATGCTCCAGTGCTTATTAGATCACCTCCAGATCACCTCAGCCCTGGGTTGGCAGGGTAAGAAGAAACAAGGACGGTAAGCCTTCTCCTTTATACTCTCATTGTCCTGCACTCGGATGGAGAACACTCATCAGAACTGTTGCATAACCATCATCACCGACTTCTCAGAAGTTGTCTGAATATTTAGGATGCACTAAGAAAAACCGCTGGATGATGTGGACAAAACCAGACTAGGACCTTTCTTAAAGCAGACATACTACTTTCTATCTATCTATTGATGCTGTGATACCTTATGAGTGGTAAACCAGAATATGAGCAGAAGCTCTTTGGTTTAAATCGTGTAAAAGTTATAATTAACTACAGAACTTGAGAGTTCCAGAAAGAAGCTCTTTAATTTCCAATTTAAATAAATTCTTTATGGTTTATATGTAGGCTATTATTAATGAGAGGTTGTGTGACAATAACACAGGCTTATTGGAATAGATAATCAGGGGACACAGCCTCATCAGTAAATAATGTCTATCAATTGAAAGTCTAATAAAGGCAGACAAACAACACCATACTGTTAGTTCAGAGCTGAGTTTCATTCAAACATGATTCACTCAGTATTAGTAATTATCTTGCCATGTGTTGGAGCATTCTTTGAACTAAATAGCGACATTCACAGTCCCAGGAACATATCATGTGTCCCCACAGCTGCACTGCCACTGAGGACCATTTTCCAAAACACAAAAGACCACACACACAAACCAACCAACCATGTAACTCATTCAAAATAAGAGAGATTGACACAATGTAAAAACATGATTGTAAAGGTTCATACTAGTAGATTAAATCATAACTTAGACTTTTCTCTTTAAAAAAAAATCGCATCTTTGAATAAGAATCCGTCGCAAGCAACGATTGGACAAACATGCTCAATCTTGATGAATGAACACGTTTTACTCATGTATCATTTTTAGACAGAATTACGTGTCTGCTCACACACCAGCCCCATTATGTGATTTAAAGGATCCCCCCCCAACCCCCACTCCATCTATTTTAACATTTCAGCAACAAAAGAAAGAAATTGAGTATGATTTGTATTACCGGCGGTGGTATTGCGGGTTATCCTTAAACACAGCGTCTTCCTCGTAGTTATTAAAGGAAAATCAGCAGCTGCCGCAGTGAGATTGGTTTGACATTTCTGCCAGTTATTTGTCCATATTCTGCCCCTACCATACGATACATGAAGAAAGCCTGTGTTTTCTGCTGTATGCGGTTGACGTCAATGCAAAAAAAAACCTGCATGAAAGCTGACATAGGCTGGTTAAGGTGGAACTGGATCAATCGGTGGTATATCTTGTAATGTCGTTATTGTCGTTAAAATATGTAATATATTATACCATAAGACAGGTGACACCGTCATTAAATAAACATTACGTTGTTTTTTTTATCTGACTTTTACAGTTTTGTTTCGTGTGTTTATCTGGCGTGACCACAAACGACCTTAAGCGCCACCGTCTCGTCTGGTTTAGAGTCCGGAAGTGCGTTTGATAAAACTGTCAATGTAAGCTAGAAAGGCGGGGGGGGTTCACTTAGAAGCGTCTTGATTGGTCAGTCAGACCATGAAGCGTCTTCGCTTTAGCTTGCGTTAAAAAAATCAAAAAAAAAAATCAGACCGCTAACAAGTCATAAACTCAGTCAACAATAACGCATGAACTCTTACTTTCTTAAGGCGGCAACTGTTCCGATATCACTTAATATAATATTTACTATTAAACTCAATGTAATTCACGACAAAATGAATAGTCAATATCCGGGTATCCAGGGTAGCTAACGTTAGCAGCAGCTGCAGAGGTATTAAAACCAGCACTCACCACCAGCCGTCGTCTGGGTCGATAGGACAGCAATGATTTCTTCCTGTTTGAAAGCTTGCCCAGCTTTGTGGCTTTAACAGCGTCACCTATTATAAATTAAACTCTCTCGGTGTTCTTCGGACGACTGTGTGTGGTGAATGCAGCTGGTCATTTAATTTGAACCTCACGTGTAGCATCAAAACACTGCTTGTTCTTTTCCGAACAGCTCCGAAATTGAAATTTAGAGGTTGTCGTGCTCGCCGTGCTGTTCATCAACCCAATTTGATTAAGTGTTTAAAAGAAGGAATGTTGACGCTTTAGTGTTTTAATTATAAGTCGAAAGATATCCGTGATGCTGGATCTAAAATAATTATGCTCACTTTAAAATGTGTGTAAACACAATTAGCCTGTGGTGTATGATCTGTAGGACCCATGAACCGTAAAACCAACCTCTTTCGTTTTGCACCGTGGGATTGTGGGTAATGTGGCTGAACTCTATCACGTTTTGGATCCAGCATGGCAGGCAAACAGAAGAGGTCGGTGAACGCTTTTCTTTACTTTTGCTCCATATTCCCGAGTTTCAGCGTGAAGTTTAATTGTGGTGTGTGTGTCCATGTGTTGTCATTCCAGTCGGCACATTTATGGGATTGACAAAGTCGTTTAAAACCAAAGTTAACACCATATGCGGTAGTGTCTTAGCCACCATGCTACCAGGTTAGCTCACTGCCTAAATACAGTGATGGCTTCATGTTAGTCTTTACCTCTTATAAACGTGGACCGCATGTTATAGGAGATTTTTGCAATTGACGAACAAACCTGTCAAAAGCTGTCAGTCAGACTAGAATACGTTTAAAATGACGGTGGTAACAGAAAGTCATGCCTTTAAAATAGCTCCCTAGCACATGTTGGTTAACTTACTTCATGTTTTGTTCTTATTTGTTCTTAGGAAATTGGAAGACCTAAGTGTGGATGAGTTCCTGCTGTCAGGGTTTGACTCTGCTGGTGAATCTGAAGAAGATACTCCCAAACAGAATGGACTCACTAAAAAGACGAAAGATCAGAAATCTGCAACCTCTAACATGTAAGTTCTTTGACATGGATTTTAATAAACAAAGTAAAAACCTGTCTAGGACAGGCGTGCAACTCTGCAGTGATTTTTGTGCTTGCTTTTGTTTGTTTTCAGTGACGAAAAGAGGGAAGGCAAGGCCTCCATGCATAAGCAGCAGCTGTCTAGGTTACAGAATAAAGATCCTGAGTTCTATAAGTTCCTGCAAGAGAACGACCAAACACTGCTGAACTTTGATGACACAGACAGCTCTGACGATGAGGAGAAGTACCACACACTGCCATCTGCACTGGAGGTGAGTCAGTTGCTGATGTCTTAGTTGACGAGTCCTCTTGTAAAAACAATATTTTTCACTCCAGCGTGTTTTGCTTGTAGGAGGCAGGCTCTGGTGACGAAGACGACGATGACAATGATAATGGTCAAGAAGCTTCGAAAAAATCCAAGAAGGCTGTGGAGACAATAAAAGTAACCGACAAAATGATTCAAGAGTGGAAAGCAGCTATGAAGAAGGAACCTTCACCTCGTCTCTTCAGAGAAGTCACCCAGGCTTTTAAGGCCGCTGTGGCCACAACCAAGGGTGAAGGAGGCGGTCAGTGTCGATACAAAGTGGCCGACAGCTCAGGTAAGACGAAGTGTTTAATACAAAGTGCTTTTTTGTGTTCTGAAACTTTACCGTGAATGTTTGTGTTTTCCTCCTTTTCTTTTCTTTTTTTTTTTCTGCAAGTTTCCTGTGACATCATTGCACAACACAATGTTGCCTTTATTGTGTACAACCCAAACTTAGTTTTTGTAACTATTTTAAAAACAATATCTTTTTAGATATTTACAGATGTTTAACAAGAAAAGTTTTTTATATATATATACACACAAAATAAGCTGCTGCTGTAGAGTACTTTTTAAATTCAAGCAGCTGCTCAGAAACTTTTCGTATACCATGAAAAATGATATTGTTTTAGGGGGAAAGAAAGTGGTGAACATTTACATACTGTGACCTTTGACGTTGATAAAAACAATGCAACAGACATTTCAATTAATACCTTATAAGTATGGAGGGTTGAAAGAAATGCTAATCAGATATTTTTTAGGTTTCATATTTAACATGTTCTTAAATTTTTAGTATGAAGAGTTGCAATATAATAATAATAACAATACTGTTGCTGGTGTCCATTTGGTACTTTTTAATACACTTAAAACTTTAGTCACAAACAGAAACTTACCTCAGTAGTGACTATATGAAACCAACATTGGCCATTTGTTTCAGCTTCATCACCTCAGCTTCATTTACACATCTTTTTTTTTTTACATAACATCCAGTGAATGCTTTGATGACATTTTTTTGAATAATGAAGCTTGTACTGAATGGTAAAATACACTTCAACATTTTATATTCCATGAATATGAAAAACTAACTTTTTTTCTTGACATCCTGCAGTTTTCAACGCCTTGGTCCTGTTCTGTATCAGAGATATTTATGGGGCCCTGCAGAGGATGCTCAGCCTCAAGGCAGTAAAAGACCAGAAGAAGTATGAATGTCACATGCCGATCCAGCGTCCTGTTAATAGTTGAATTGAAGCTGTGGAAAGATGGTTTACACCTGTCACTCTTTGTCTGTTTTGCTGACAGGCTAGTGTTCCCTTCGTCTAGTCAGAAGTGGCAGAAGAATCAGATCGACATCAAGATGTATCTCAGTGGAGTAGTTCAGGTTTGATATGCAGTTTTCTTCTAGTGTGTCTCCTTTGGGTTTGTCTCTGATCTTTCCTCGAATTTATTTCTGCCTCTTCTCTTATGAGGTGGACAGGGGTGATCTACAGTAGATCAAGTGTGGAGAAATGTCCTTTTTCTTTTTAATCCTTTGACATAGAACAATGCTGAACATGCTTTGAAACAAAACTCCTCTTCTCTGTTTTGTCAACCTGTGTTGGTCTCTGACATGTCTTTGTTTCTGTCTCCATTTGTAGCTGTTATCATGTCTGACAGAGACTACAGTCATCAGTGCTGTCCTGCGGCATGCAAACCAGCTGGTACCTTATTACCTTTGTCTACCCAAACAGTGTCGTCACCTTATGAAGGTAAGGCATACGTTACCATAGGATGGTATTTCATCTCAGGGGTTGACATTAAATTCAATTTGCCACTGGCCCAGGAACATTATTTTGATTTGTAAAATAACAGTCAAACTACCTTATCTTTTCAATACTTAACTTCCTTGTTTGTATATGTCTGCATTGATCGAGGGATTTGGCGAAAGACTGAGGCGCCGTGTCCACCTGTGTTTACAGCTGACCGACTTTTAGACAAGCGCTCTGCCGTTTTTGTGCGGCCGCTCCGAGCGCTCAAGTTGAAAGTATTTCAACTTTTCAGAAAGACGCTGTTGACGTCACCAGCGTTCTTTTTGAAAATGTATTTTATAATCCATATTTTAGCCTCCTACGGATCATATCTTGTACCCACACCCTCTTCACTCCGTGTCTGCTGGGGTAAAAAAAACAATCTAAAATATCAAACATGCAGGAAAAAGTAACGGAGCAGTGTCGTTCATACAGCGGCAGTTGTTAACGCACTGTTGTCATAGAGACAGGACAGACGTGCGGCGCTTTTCTTCTCAGCTAACAAGCGCTTCATGCAGACGCTCCCGAGCGCACAGCCAGCGCTTTTTCTGCCCAGAAAAAACGCTAGTGAACACTGGACCTAAGGCTGTCTTCTAAGCCGCCTTCTATACTAATAGTATGTACTGATTCGGCCAAAATGCAGCATGCAAATAAATGCGATATCCGCAGTATGCAAAAATACTGATTCAGGAAAAATGTACAGTATGCATCAGACCAGTCTCCCTCATGTACTGTTTCCTGCCATTCAAAGCACCAGAGACTGAGATGACAGATAGCAACAGCCACCTTAACAGAGGAAATCATCACAATCAGACCAACCCACACAAAGATATCACCAATGATCTTTTTTTTTTTTATTATGAAAATCATGAAACCAAAATGAATCACTTGCCAGCTTCTTCAGACCAAAAGTGGATGCTACACTGTAGCGGCGTTTGCCATCAGCTGGGCTGTTGTTTACTTCCACATTCCAAGACCTGGAACCTGCCGGGCATTCTGCAAAATAAACACAGACTGGCAGTCATACCACTGTTGAATGCAGTATGCAGTGCGTGCTGCATAGTACGTTTGATAGCAGTAGGCGGTTTTGAAAACATCCTACATTTTTAGCTGCATCCTGTTCCAGCCAACTGAAACGCTCTCCTTTCTGTTTTCATACTCTCGTCACTCTCCCACCACTCTTCCGATGATATTCCTATCTTCCACTGTTAATTTTACTGGCTTTAGCTGGAAACTGGTGATTTAAAGGAACACTTTGCTACACTAATGTATGAGAGGAAACCAGTGTTACAATTCATGTCCATGTGTACAATCGCAGTGTAGTGAGGAGTGAAGCTCTTTGTGTTGGCTGCCTTTCAACAATGACACACAGCAAAGGGCTCTTATTAAAGGTTGATGCGTCATTAATATGATGATTTGACAAGAATCACTGACAAAACACCAGTATCACAGGAAAATTAAATATGTTACGTTTGCTGTTGATTTTCAAGGCAGCATTTTTACTGGCCTGAGTTTGCCATGTTTGTCAGCTGCACCGTAGCCTTTCAATCGTTGCTCTAGACCAGTCATATTGTCAGACCTGCATATAATTCTTAAGTGATTCTTCGAAAAATGTTTTACCCTTATTATTTCTTTACCATCCGTCTCATGTGTTTTTGCCTAGCAACTGTTGAAACAGTGGAGCACAGGGGAGGAGACGAGTCGCGTTCTTGCTTTCTTGGCCCTCAACAAAATCTGCAGACACAAGCAGGAAACGTATCTCAACCCTGTTCTCAAGGTGAGCTAAATGCAGAATGATACGTGAATAGAAATACAACAAACTTGGATGAAAGATTGACTATGATTAACTTAAAATTGTCAAAAAAAAGAGAGTTCTGTTTTTCTTTTTAATGTAATAATTCCACACCCAGCACCTAAAACAAGTTTGTTTTCTATTTAATGAAGTGTTTTTTTGTCCTTTTTTTCCAGCAAATGTACATTTCCTATGTACAAAACTGTAAGTTCACATCCCCCAATGTGCTACCCATGATCAACTTCATGCAGCGCACCTTAACAGAGATGTATTCCCTGGACACACAAGTCTCTTACCAGCATGCCTTCATCTACATCCGACAGCTGGCCATCCACCTCAGGAATGCCATGGCCATGAAGAAAAAGGTTGGTTTGTTACTTTGTGCTCAGAAAGATGGTTTGCTTTATAGAGAGAGAGAACGATAGGACATAAAAAGACATGGTTAAATTGTTTTTCTTGGACGTGTTTGTCCATTCAGGCTTATTGATTGAAGGATTATTCATTTTAAATATCATTCATCCTGGTGACTCTAGCATCTACATTATTAACTCTGCTGCTACAGGGTCGATGCATTTAAACATAAGTTTAAATGCAAAGCATGAAGCTGATGTGCTGCACTCAGAGTTTATAGATATTGTTCATTTCGGACTCCTGTCCCTAATGGTGTGTTCACTTCTTGGTTTAATTGTGAATTTTCGGAGTAGATCATACAGAGTTCAGCTCTTCATGGAGGTTCATATCCAGTTTTCTAATCAAATACAAACCTAAAAAAAACATGTGTTTGTGTGTGCTCTGCAGGAAACATACCAGTCAGTGTATAACTGGCAGTATATCCACTGTCTGTACCTGTGGTGTCGCGTCCTCAGCTCCCTCCATCCCAGCGATGTACTCCAACCTCTCATCTATCCACTCTGCCAGGTCATAATTGGCACCATCAAGTGAGTATATGTACATGCAATTTAAATTCTTAAAGTTCTTTTAGTCTTTTTGGTCAATCTGAGAAAATATTTTTTGATCGTATCTATATATTTTTATATGTATTAAAAATAATAGGCTGAAATGATCACATTTTTCACATTTTTGCTTGAAGAAAAAATTATTTCGATTTTACAATGAATTATAAATACGCAATACTTTGCTTTTCTGGTCAATTTCAACAATGGATTTATGATTGTATCAATTCATGTAATCCACTAAACAAAATCTCAGTGCCTGCTGCATTAGATAATTAATCATAACTGATTACTTAAGAGTTTTTTTGATTTGACAAAGTTTTCAGTGTTTGCAACAAAATAATATTAACCTTAAAACTCATGGCTCAATAATGACACCAGTCTATTTGTTATTCAATTACCGGTAGATCGGGTCACCCCTACTAGAAGTAACATTCTGCCATCAACAATTGAGGCAGATTTTCTTGTCAAACTTGAAGTCTGTACTAGTACAATACTGAGGTGAATCAGTGAATGTGTGGAGAACTTAATTAATGTTCTATACTGATACTGTATGACATTTTGTAGTCCAAGCATTAATTAGCCCTTTTTTAAATACCGTTTAAATGATGTGGTTTATTTGAATCTAACATTTCCATGTCCATTTTTCCAACTGCAGGGGGCGACATTGACCAATGTTTTCTTTCTCTCTCTGAACAGACTAGTGCCCACATCAAGATATCACCCTCTGAGGATGCACTGTTGCAGAGCCCTCACCCTTCTTTCTAGCAGCACCAACACATTTGTCCCGGTTCTGCCTTTCCTCCTGGAGGTAGGACTTCTTGTCATCTTCAGTAACCAGAGACAGTGGATAAGTGTGGTTCTGAACAGGAGTGATGCAGCTTGTGCAGATATATGTTTCTAATAGTCTTCAAAAAATCACCAGCACACAAAAGTAAAACAGAAGGTTTAAATTATTCTGAATAATTCTGAATAAACAAGAGGTCATTGGTTGTTGTTTGCCAACAAAGAAACGATGAAAAGGTAGATTTGGTGAAATGTTCCATCAGTCGTTTTGTGTGGAAACATCAGTGGTGAATGAAAAGCATTTTGGTCTTAACGGCCCTGACTATAGGAGCTCAAGAGGAAACACATTTATGGGTAGGACTGTGTGAAACAGACGAGAGAAACCTTTGTTATCAGACCAATCACAGGTCACCAACTGACAACACTTTGTCTGGCTCAGGTGTTGAACACGTGATTGTGCGGTGTGTCTTGTGCACAAATTTGTGCTGTGTTTATGCATGCTGGGGGGGGGGGGGGGGTGGCTGTTGTGGTCCGTTGGAGGAGAACGGTGCACTGGCGACAGGAGCTGGCACCGCCCACTAGGAGTGCACGCAGTTTTGTGTTGATTTGTGTGTGCGTGCAGGCATGCAGCAGTTTGGCCGAAGTGATAAAAGCATGGTTGTGGTTTACACTCTGGTCCTTACACGCTGTGAAGACCACATCCTCTCTGCCTTGGGCCCACTCCCCACCTCTTTTTCCCTGCACACACACAGTCATCCCCCTAACCCCCAAAAGCAAACCGTGTTTATTTGTGACGCACAATATTTCCTGTGTTTTTTTTTTTTTCCTCCTTTACTGTTCCCCTTGTTAAAGCACTGTTAAAGGCGGGCTGAGGTATGCTGCTACTGTTTTAATTAGAGCAGCAGAAGCAGCGCCTTCCTCCTGTGTGTCTGTGCCTGTGTGTGTTCTCGCTTCTCCGAGGGGGGTGTACGATTTGGAGCTTCCTGCTTTAGTAGCTGTGCATGTGTCTATGTGTTGGAGAGTGTGTGTGTGTGTGTACGTGCACGCGCCAGGGTTGGCCCATGCTTTCCCACTTCCCCCTGGCTCCCCCGCAGACCGCCACCACATCCTATGTTTGTACAGACAGCACCGGCCAGGAGCGTTGCTCTGCTTCGCACACTGAGCACATTAACGACCACACACACGAACACACAAACGCACACAAATGCACAAAGATACGGGGAGTCAGAAATAGCTTGATACACAAATACAAGGCAGAAATTCACTTGCACGCTGTGGGCAGATGTGAAAGCTAAAGCTTGTAGACAAATAGCCCACACGTTGGCTAGAATGTACCTTCACAGACGAAGATAGAGATGTGTCATCTCACTAACACTGTGAGTATGTAAAGCAAACTGTGCAGAATAATCTTCATAACTATTGAGAATATCTGTAGAACTCTTTAAACATATAGATCAAATGTTGGTTTTTTTATGCTCAATGAACTTCTGAAAAGGTGAGGTCTCCAAGGAAGAATACAAATATAGTTTTAATCCATTTTAATTTTGAAAGATGTAAAGAAAAAGTGAACCTACAAACAAGCAGGACAGGACAACATAAATATTAACTCACAATGAAAAGATAATGCAAAATACATCAGAAACACTTCGTTGATATAAAATGACCGAACTTCTCCATATATAAGTTTACTAATGTTGGAGTAGGAGCGTCATGGGGTTCACTCAAAATAGTGAAAATGCATTATTTTACAAATAACATGGATCATTTCTGAGCACGTTGGTCCCAGTTCAACATCGTCATCTTATATCCACTGCTTTGTAGATCTTTCAACAGGTGGACTTCAACAAGAAGCCCGGGCGAATGAGTAAGAAGCCGATCAACTTTGCAGTTATCCTGAAACTTAGCAAGGTCAACCTGATGGAGAAGGCTTACAAGGTGAGTGTTACTGTGATCCAGCACTAATCGGGGCAGATAGAAGGTCACATTAGTTTCTCTACAGTTTAGGAAGAAGACTCCGTGTTAAGCCGCCCTCTGTGTACTGTTGTTTGTGTTCCTCTTTCTCATGTCTCTCACTGAAAAGAAGCAGCAGCTGATCAGATGAGTGAAGTCTTAATGTTATTTTCACGCTGCTCCCTAACACCTTGTTGGCCTGCGTGTGTACATAAGGGGATTGAGGGCAACACCGAGGGCTCAGGACTCTAAAACTGGTCCTCAGTCGCCACGCTCAGCACTACCGCAAAGAGGATTGTAGCACGGCCCTGTGGGATTATCCCTCGCATGCCGCTCGCTAGTGCTGTTTTAACTGCTGCCGCCTCGGCAGAAGCTACCAAACCCTGCCTTGTAGACTGACACCAGTTAGGGCTGAACGTCCACAGATCAGACTGGACAGAGATAAACAGATCTAAGACTTTTTCTGTGTTCACCAAAGGCCTATTCCGCTCAAATTTTGTTTACAAATTAGTTTTTTTAAATTCGTGTTTTACTGAGCACTTCTCCTTTGCTGAGATAATCCATCCACCTGACTGACCTGTGGCATATCAAGATGCTGATCAGACAGGATGATTATTTCACAGGTTTTCCTTGTCAGAAACTGGCTCAGGGAAGCTCATCTGCATGCATGTTGTCCGCACTGTTGTCTTTACTTGGATGCAGTTCATGGTTGTAGAGATACAATGACAAGATCCTGAGGCCCATATGCCTCGCCTGTCAGGTGGATGGATTATATCGAAAAAGGAGAAGTGCTCACTGACAGATTTTAACAAACCTATGAACGAAATGTGAAAGTAATAGGCCCTTTGTGTACATAGAACAATTCTAAGATCTTTGATTTCAGTCTTGCATTTAAATTTTTGTTGAGTTTATTTACAAAGAAAGGCAGCATAGTGTTTTATTTTGCAGATTATCTACCCCTTAATCTAGCCAAGTGAATTCTCTAAATTATATTTGATTGAATCCGTAGTAGAGTGCAGAATGTGCTTCATGGTCCGTTCTTAGTTGATAGGCACCGCTTTAAAAGGTGAAGTCCTTCAGGGGCTTCATGATGCCAGTTCAGCCAAATGTTTTTGTTCTTTTTGTTTTTGTGCTGAACTGGAAAATATTTCTTTTTTTTTTTAATCTGGCTTTTTCCCATTGACCATCATGGAAATTACCAGTTAATAAGACTGAATATCTTTTTTTATTAACCCTAACTTATTCAGTTTTCAAACTCAGCAAAACTAACAATCTTAAAGTAGCTAGCATTAATCATCCTTAATCATTCCTACCAGGTTCTTATTGCTTCTCTTAACTGACAGAATCAACGCTCAGAGGACACAACACCAAATGTTTTCTGACTTTTTGAACAGTTACTTTATGAGGTTAGAAAATCAGAGGTCTGCAACAGGCTATGCTTGGCTAAGCAGTCAGTAATTCTTTGGTGAAACTAAATGCTAATGAAGATTTAAATCTCAGTTTAGCCGTTATGTCTACTGATTTTAGTTGCTTGGAAAAGGTAATTGAAGTTTTACACATCTGTGTGAATATTTCTTTTAATGAATCTAATTGTTCTTCTTTTGTAGGACGGGCTGATTGACCAGCTGTATGATCTGATCCTGGAATACTTTCACACTCAGGCCAGTTCCATCGGTTTCCCAGAGCTTGCCCTGCCCACAGTCCTCCAGGTAACCTTAAAACTGATGCTGGCAGGATCTTGGTCATAAAATGATTTTATATCCTCAAATCTAAAAAAAAAAAAAATTGTACATAACAACGCTCTTATTGATCCGAAGCTAACAAGAACGCAGTGACACTGAACATCACTCACAAATTGTCAGATAACACGATTCTGGATTTGCCTGGCTGAATCTGCTTCCCTTTAGGGGAAACAACCCCAAAGCCTCCTCTGCTCTGCCTGAAATAACACCGTATGGGTGGACTTGATGATCCTTCACACCGGTTCGTTCCTTCTCACACTCCCTCTCATGTCCCTGCAGCTGAAAGGGTTCCTGAAGGAATGCAAAGTGGCCAATTACTGCAAGCCAGTGCGCCAGCTGCTGGAGAAGGTGCAGGAGAACAGCAGCTTCATCACAGGTCGCAGACAGAAGGCTGCTTTCGGAGTGGCCGATGCCTCTGCTGTGGTGAGTGTGTGCGTGTGTGTGAAAGACAGTGGGAGTGATGTCACAGGATGACTGTCTTGTCCTTATTTCTCACACTGCTGTGTCAGGGTCATCATTGTACTTTTTTTTTATTTTTTTTTTATCTGTGCCATGTTTCCTAATACAACTTGTTTTGAGCCTTTTTTTTAAAGAAGGTTGTGAAAGATTTAAAAGTGAGTTAATGAAGTCTGGTGCTTTTGCATCAAAACGAAACCTTAAAGGAAAGTTTAAGGTACCAAGAAAAACATTTCAAATGTAATAAAATAACTCATAAGGTATAAAATATAGAAGTTGTTGGAGTTAATAACGATGAACTCATTGGCTTGTTCCTAATAATCCCTCAATGATTTTCTTCAAATGATCAAAAGTGAACGTTATTATTAGACGTTCAAGGGTCATAAAAGGTCAAACTACTTAAACATCTGCATTGTTATCAAGAAGGGAATGTCAGTCAAAGATACATTTACTGTGATCTTTACTGTAGCATGTTGAATGGTATTTGTAACCAGCCATGTTTGGTCATTCTTGTTGAGCCACGTAACATTCAGTTCATAAAACACCATTCTCCTGTACGACAATCCGTTAGTTCTTTTCAATGAGAGAGACTTCTGTTGTTTTTTACACTGAGAAACATTATTTTAATATTGATTACTGCAAGCTGCTGTGTCGGTCCACCTTAGAATAAAATATTGATTAAATTAATTAATTGAAAGGTGAGACCTAAAACTGAAAGTCTATCAACAACAATGTATCCTCAATAACAGAAAAACAAGACAATCCACAGATTTAAAAGCTCTTCAGTTTGGGATTCTTTCCATGTTTCCCTCTTGCTTTTACAAAGCTCAGACATAATGCGATGGGTTGTGATTATTGGTATCAAGCAGCTGGGACTTGGTCTGAAGTCGTTAAAGCTTGTAAGAGAAACACAAAAAACCTCTCCAAGAAGGATCTAGATTTAAAACGTATTCCACTGGAGGAATATCAAAGCCTCTCCCCCCCAAACATCTGAACATGCACCGCTTCCTAACGGTGAAGTCCACTGACAAGTTTTTTGTGAAGGAGTGAAGTGCATTGTTGTCGTCAGTTTTCTGCTATTTCTGTGAAACTATTTTACAAGCTTTTTATGTAAACAGACTATGTCTTGAGTGCTTTCAATTCATGTTTGGCCCAAAACACAACAATACAAATCAAGACCTGACAAAACTAGTTTGAGCCCAGAAAATGCTGTGTTTAGCAAAAGGGTGCTTGGCATGCCCTGAATGCTCTAAGCCCTCAGGCCTCACTTGGGACATTTTTGTCCATTGCCATGTTTAATTTTAAGATCACATTTGAATCCCTGTGGTATTTCATTTGGCAGAGATGTGCATTTTTTGAACCTCATATGTTATATGTCAATAGTATTTTAAAAAAGTGACACACCACAGTATAATGTCAAAATAGTTCTGTTGACTTCCATTAGAACACATTTTTGTGTAAAAGTATTTTCTAAGCAAAGGCTAAGCTAAGTTTGCTAGCTAGTATGGTCTCGGTTTTTTACACGTCAAAATATAGCAAACTACTACTACTGCATTTTATCTTCCCTTTAACGGCCAGTGTGACGTTCACGGACCGCTGTGAGGATAGGAATATCAGGTACCCCCCCCCCCCCCCCCCCCCAAAAAAAAAAAAAACTGTTTTACAAACATTACTGAAGCTTGTCAAAAGATTTTGTTCAGTAATATTAATAACTAATTATTTTATGGCAGTTAATTGAGATGTGTACATTTTTGTCCCTAAGGGAACTTTTTTTTTTTTTTTTTAACCAAGAACAAGAGTTAAGGAAATTCACAATAGATCATTAACCACGCAGACAGACGGCAGCGCCAGCTCCTGTTGCTGCTGCCCTGTTCTCAGTAGAAGCTGTCGCTCTAGTATCCACTCCCTGGTGGCGGTGTCACTGCAGGCCGAGGAGACAGGACAGCCCTGCTGCTGCCGCTGCTGTGGAAAAGGCCACAGCCCCCCTCCGGCCCCCCACCCCTGCTAACATGTCAAAAACTGAGAGCTAGCCTAATTAATGATACCCTGCCTCGGTCCAGGTCACACTCTGTTGTTCCTTGTCTTTGTCTGTTGGCTCCATGAGGAAATCACTCATTGTACCTTTCCGAGTCCAGGTTGGATGAAGAAGTTGCTTTTCTGTTATATTTTCTTATACGTTTTTTTACATGAATGCCACCAATCTTATTTGCGGCGGAGCAAATTGTTGTAAATGTGTTAAGCAAACCGATGGAGATGACCGCGATCTGTTCACTCTATTGGATTTGTTGGTCAGGTAATGTGATTTGGCCTAATCAATATCATCCACAAAGACCTTTAGGGCCCTAAGAAGATCTGCTGGTCTCCTCTTTTCTGTCATCGGCGATCTGTTTTCTGCATCCTCCCACTCTTACCTTATTCTCTTTTAATCCATTTCTCTTTTTTTTTTCAAAATGCTCATGCAAAGATCAGCTTCCTGTTCAGCAAGATAAACCAAAATATACCTGTAGCTGTATTTTTCAACACAAAAAGCTTTAATCATCTTGTCCTCTTCAGGCGGCCTGGGAGAAGAAGATGCAGGAGGAGGGAACTCCCCTCAGCAGGTACTACAGCCAGTGGAAGAAGCTGAGAGAGAAGGAGATCCAGCTGGAGATCTCCGGCAAAGAAAGGGTAACTATCCAACAGCAAGAACCACACACATTTGCCTCATCCTGCTCAGTCCTCATGAATCACTTTTGGTTATTCCTTTTTGGCTGTCATTGTTAACCACAAGAAATGCCGTTTCATATAAATAATAAACAGCCATGCTACAAATTTGACCATAAATATATTTCCTATCCTCAGAAATGATGCAATGAAAGTGTATGTATTTGTGTATTTAGACAGCTGTTTTTGTGTTTCGCATAGATGGAGGATCTGGACCTCCCTGAGATCAAACGGAGGAAGATTCAGGAGAAGAAGGCCGAGGACAAAAGGGAGTTCAAGGATTTGTTTCAGTCTGACAGCGACTCTGATGAAGATGATGGAGGACTCAAAATCGGAGGCAAGCTGACATCACAAACACTCACATTAAAAAGAATATTACTTGGGCTGCAGTGAGCTAAGACATCTTGGCCTCTAGGGGGCTGTGTTTTGTTGCTTTTTGCTCTACAGTGCAGAAGCAGTGAAGTAGACGATGACAGTTAAGTGCTATTTCCTTTAGATTTAGCAACATGAAGTTACCAGTGTGATCGAAGTTTTTGAACATCCACAGAGGTGACAAATAGAACCTGAAAAATCTCAGTGTATGAGACCGTTTGAAGGAACCGTCAGTTTGATCTCTCTTTAACCCCAGTGTCCTCGCAGGGTCATCCAAGGGTCACAGCCGCACCCTCCCTTTTACAGCTTTACACTCGGATTCGCTCTGAGCATTAAATAGTCCTCCACCAGGTCACAGAGGAAAGGAGTAGGCGGCCGGGGGATTTTTATTCTCTGCATCTGGACTTCATTGTAGGGAGAGTCCCTGCAAACGGATGGGCAGCTGCCGGCGAGCTACGGGCCTCCGCCTCTCACTCTCTATACACCCCTCCCACACCTCACGCGCACACACGATCTGAAACCCCCCGACAGGAAGTACAGGCTTGGATCCCAGCGGGGGATCCTAATTCAAACCAGCCTGGTGGAACAGCCAGAGGTGGCCGCTTCCTCTCTTCTCTCTCACTCTGTTTTTCCCTCTTTTTCATTCTAGCTTTGTCACTCTCTTTCCAACTCTGTGGGCTTCATCCAGCTGCCCCCATATGTCCTTTCAACACGTGCACATGCGAAGACACACACACACACATACACACACACACACACACACATGTTGATGATAGAACACAAGCGAGCATACACCCACCGCCGTCTCGTCCAGTCTTGAAGAGCCAAAAGCTTTTGGGCAGCTCACCAAAGCTCTTTGTGGTCTCACACGCTCCCGGAAAGAGGAGGAGTGTGAGAGGAGGGGGCTGATGATTTAGATTGATGTGTGTGTGTGTGTGTGTGTGTGTGTGCGCCTTCGTGTGCATGTTTGTGTTAGTGTGGGTAACAAGTCTTCCAGGTCATTTTGGGTCAACCTCTGAGGTACTACTGCACAGTTTGAGTATTTTTGTCTTCTGAAGTTTAGATAGGAGGGAAGTACCTGATTTTTTTTTTAATTGTGTGTGTGTGCGCGTCTGCCCTTATTGTACATGTGTTTGTGAGTGTGTTGGCACTTCAGCAGACAGAGGAAGCAGTCTTTTTTTCTGTACTTCCCTTCACCGCGCCCCCAGACTCTCGTCATACCTCAACTTCAAAGTCTGTGGACCCCAGTTGTCCCTTTGGCGAAACAACACACAAACGCACAAGTTTAGCACAACACAAATTGAGACAAATTCCCTGCTTCTCTCCAGTACACACGCACACACTCACTCACACACAAACAGACTTTCCCATCATCACGGTAGCTGAGGAACCTGCCTGTTATCTCCATTTGCTATATTTAGGCTGTGAGCATAAGATGTCTGAAATTGCCGGTAGTAAACTGTCATGGGTGTTTGTGCAGCAGCAGCGGCAGCGTCTGTAATCGACTCTCGGTTCCATCTCTGGAGGAAATAGACACTTCCAGCTGCCTCTGATGCCTGGCCCACATATAGGTGTCTCCAAAGTCCTCAGACGGCAGCAATGCACCAACACAAACTTAAGAATTGTCTGAAAAAAAGTACTGCTAGACAAATTGAACTCTGTGTAATGTTTTTCATTGTTTCCCTTCAGGTAAAAAGGGCGGCCACAAGTATGATGATGATGATGATGATGATCTTGAAGATATGTTGGACATGAGTGATGATGAAGGGATGGAGGGCGGAGACTCAGGTTGGTACAATAATTTAGTCAGAAAAAAGGGCTTTTTTGTATCCTTTATAATTAAAAAATGGAAAGATGCGACCTGCTGCTTACTTGAATTTTGTATATAGACGAAACAGTAATTAATGTTTCTACCGACCCATTCTTTAGAAGGTTGCAGGTAAAAGAGTGAAGCTCATGATATCTTTTTAGATGTCCCAGAATCAGATAAGTTGAGCTACAAAAAGTGATTTGGATGGTAACAGTTTTTAGTAATATTTTCAAGCATAATTGTTTTTCTCACGAGCTTTCAGAAATTCTTTTTTCTATAAAAAAACAAAACTTTATATAGTTATGTGAGTCAATTTTTCTCAATGTTAAAATAATAGTTTCATAGAGAAGCTTTCTTGCCCTATATTCCTGTTTAATTCCTTATAAAGATAGTTTATGTACACGTAATCAGAACCAAAATCATCTGCTATTCTTTGAAATAAGTTAAAGAATGTTTAAATATAACTCAATGTTTAACTGCCCAAACATTTAATATCACCTCATAAATCAGTCCTGAAGTCTACATAGGCCCAAGCAGGACTGTTTACAAAACAGTTTACCTCTTGATACCAGCAGTGTTTCATTATCTGGATGAGTGTTAACGTTCGTCCTCTGTGTTTCAGATGATGATGATGCGGAGGAAGGGGATGAGAAGGCTTCCAGAGCTCCTCAGCCACTGTCCTCCTCTGCTCTGATAAAGCTAGCAGAGGGAGGCGAGGATCAGGTGGAGGACCTGGAGCTCTCTGATGACGACTGAGGTTTCAGAGTTGCAAACAGTCGGTGTTATCTGAGACACATCTAAAGCTCTCCACTATTTCAACTGTCTGTACTTCCAAATAATAATGACCTTTTTCTTATTTTCTTTGCTTTTGAATTTTGTATTACGTTATCTGTATAGTAAAAATGTTAATTTTTTAAGGCATTGAAATTCTATATAAAAAACGAGTTAAGAGTCCAGACTGTTTCCTTGATTTTTTTGGCTTTTTTATTTTTATTTTTACTTTTAATTATTTTAAGCATGTACGTGCATGTTGATGCACCTGAAACAAGTCATTTGTGTCTTCTGTACATGTGCACACCTGTAGGCACCCTGAGGCGTTGTAAGGACGGGCTATTTGGAGAGAGCTATGAGTCTCGGCTAGGCCGGCCAAGGGGAGGGGTGCAGAGAGGCGGGTGTTGTGCCCTGAGGCAGCAGTGCGGTGCCAGGCTGGCAGGGAGGTGTCTGATGCTGTGCCAAGACTCTCTGCCCAGGTGGTAGAGTAGCAACACAGGCTGGTCTGTTTTTGTGCCAACTCCTCACCCACCCCCTGTCCAGACCACTGTCTTGTGTGTGCGTGTGTGTACGTGTGTGTACACACACGCTCAAACTCCGCTTTCCTGCTGCAAAATATCCCCTTTTTCTTTCTCGACTCACTGCACCTTCCCTCAGCATTCATCACCGCACTACAGGTGATACTGGCCTTTTGTTGGATGACTGTTTATTGCATGCTTTCACTGGTGCACAATACAGGATAAAGGAGTTGTTTGACATGGATTCAAATGTCACAATGGAGATTTGATTTGAGAATCATTTTGAGTCACAAGTAGTCGTCTGGACTGAAAGCAGAGCCTTCTAGTGCTGAGGCGAGGGGACATGTAGAGTGTGTGCAGCGTCAGTGTAAACTCTGTGAAGGAGGACGGTAAGAGTGAGTGGGTTTTTTTTTTTTGGTTGTGTGTGTGTGTGGGTGGGTGGATGGATGAGGAGGGTCAGGTTTTTTCCCCACCGGCAAGGGAGGCCTTGGCCTGCGGCTGAACCTCACGCTCTGACAGCTGGTGTTGACCTGCACTGTGCCCCCCATGGGTCAACTGCCCTCCACACACACACACACATCAGGAGACCACGTACTCCCTTCTGCACGTTTTTACAGAAACACCACAAACCGTTGAGGGAAAGGCTAAAATGTGTTTTTACACAGACATGCAAATAAAAGAGAAGACAGAGGAATTTCATCAGGATTTATTTCACCTGTTTGGTGAATAGAAAAATAGGATGAAGACAAAACCTTTGAAGGGAAATCTAGAGACCATTTTTTTTAATTAATTGCTTGCGTAGTTTAAAAACAAAACTAATTTAAAACATTTGCATTAAGAGCTTTGTGTCTTTCTTTTCCTGCAACCAAAAGAAAAAAAAACAGAAGTAAAAGCATCTTTGGAATCCATTTTAAGGGTAATTATAATACATATCATAATCTGCTTTTTCTTCTACATCAAAAGTCCTATAAATATTTTTTCCTCATATTTATATGCTTAAGTAGCATTCAAGATTGGAGCGTTTTAATATTACACTTAAAAAAATGGCAGAACCAAAGAGTATTAACAAAAAGTACCATCAAAGTTCAGCAAGTCACATTTTTCAGTAAAGAAAACCTTATTCGTGCAACTACAATAATCAAATAGTAAAAGTACCACGTATGTAACCTTCAGAATATTTTCATCTTGAGCATGATTCTGTACAATTTTGCATGGTTTTCCTACCTCCCACAGTAGTTAACAAGCGTACAATGACAAAAGCCGTACACACCATAGTGGCCGTTAAGGCTATTTTGTTTCGCTATCACTTTAAAGTCAGTAAATGATGCGTCACCTCAAACAGTCCCCATCAAGTGAGGCACTAGCCTAGCATTTCCCTGCTGGACTAGTCTTTATCTGAGATCTTAATGCAAAAAGTAGCAGACACATTGTGAAACCCGGGTTCAATTCCACACATCCGGTCATCTTTGGTATTAGGATAGTGGAATGCATAGTTGCAGTGATAAGAGTGAGCTGGTAAGATCTGATGCTCAGCATATGCTTCAACTCCAGCCTCTAAAAAGACAGCTTCACCATGCTGTTTGGCCTTGGTTAGCAAGAGAAGAGAGGAAGGAAAAGGGGGGAGAAGCGTTTCTTTTTAATTCCTGGGTTCTATAGGGCTTGTGGTGAGAGCAGTCCGAGAGACAAGAGAAAGAAAGTGAGTAAGCAGAGCTTCCACCAGCCCAGGAAGGAAGAGTTTCCGCTAGTGTCTGCCTCACAAGAATGTCACATTTGTGGCAGGGCTTTGCTCCTTTTTTTTTTGGCAGGCTGTCTGTGACCAGCTGTCTCCTTTCCTCTTCCTTAGTCTCCTTTCCAACCCAGTTTGTTTGGATTCTGCACGACTAGAGCAACTGCAGTTAAACTCAGACACTGATTGGTTCATCTGATACTGTCTATATCTCTATATAAGTTGTCCTTTCTCCAGTCCAATACCCTTGTCCCATTGGTTCATAGTAAAGGTCCCACAGTCTGGAAACGGGACCTTCAAGTCAGTCTCTTAGACTCTCTGGTAGGTTTGAGGAATGTCTGTCCTCCTCGCTCCTTCCAGCCCTACGAAGGAGTTTTAGCCTCGTATCTTCCCACCACTGTGGGGCCGTTACCGTTTTCCTGTCTTGGGGAGGAGCATCCTGGGGTGGGCCCGCTGTAAGGAGAAGAGCTGCTGCTGGTGGAGTTGGGTCTATGTGGCAGGGACATAGAGAGGGGCAGAGGGTTGTCAGATGGTGTAGTCAAGGGGTCCCGATCCCGTTCTTGGGGACGCAGCGCAGCAGAAGGTGGAAACGGGAAAGCCAGCGGGAATCCAGTCATGTAGAAAAGCCTGCCAACACGTCGTGCCACCTGAAGACACGAGAGGAGATCACATGACTTTCAGTACAGCCGGCTGAGGACTGAATAAAGGACTAATGCTGTGCACTGTTTCAAAACAGAGAGAAGAAGAGAGGCTGCGGTCTGAGGGGCTGCTACTTTAAGGGAATCATCTATGCTACGCTAACAGTTTGTCTTGGGCCTACAAACAGAAACACACATTCAAACACACACAAGTCCATTCGCTCACACACAAACACACAAGCAGGTCTGTGGTGTGTACCTGTGAGCGGATCTTGAGCGCAGGCCCCAGCTTTAGTCCCATGGTGTTTAGCAGGTGCTCCTCAGTGAGCAGCGGTAAGGTCTCTCCATCGATGGCCTGCTCCTGAAACACCTGGCGGAAGACACAGCCGCTTCAGCCACAGCCCCAACGTACACACACAAAAACACTCTCGACACAACTACACATTCATTCACACAAACCTAACCTCTCCTTAACGAATATCACCTTTTTGAGGGGGAAAAGCTGAAAATGAACTCTGTCTAATAAATAAAATACTCTGTCAGGATGGATTTTTCTTCAGTAGTCTGTTGTATTGTGTTATACATTTTATAATATTGGTTACTGAAATCTTACTGTCCAAACTGTTCTGTAATGTCAACTGGTGTATATAAAAGATGAGAGTACAAACTCCACAGCCTTGTTCCATGCACAAGCATGGAGATCAGAGGGAAATTGCTACCGAGTGTTTAAGAATATATTCACTTGACTTGGCTGACTGAGACAATTACAGCTTCAGCTACATATTACTAAATCCATTTTGCATCATCCACGCACATTCACGATAAACTTGGGAAAAAAGCTTTGCTTCTAACTTTAATCACAAGATACCGTTAAATATACAACAGTAGTGCTGCAGTACGTTTGGTCCACGTTGGTCTTATTCTTCTATGGTCAGTAGTCAGCCTGCCCCTGGCCTCATCCCCTCCTCTCTCTTTACTCCCCCATATCCTCACCTGTGTGTATTCAGCACATCCAGCCAGGCTGCTTATGAAGCCACACACGTCCTCCACACTCCACTTGCTGATGTCCTCCACAGAGTTTGCTGAGGCTGAGTCCTCCCCATCCATGAAAAGACCTCCCATAGAGCCTGAGAGAGCAGCAGTGGGTGAAAATGACATGTCAATATAAACACTGGATACAACGTTACTATTTTGAATCAGGAGCTTGCTGTTTTTTCATCTTTAGGTGTTGCAGGCCCTGACACCTTAAAAAACGAGTGAGCCTATTCTTAGAAAAAACTTAAACCCAAAGGTCACATATTACTGCTTTTTAAAAGTTTAAATAAGTCTTAGAAGTTTCTTGCCAAAAATCAACTCTGATCCTGTATTTTAGCATGTCTATAAACCCCTCTGTTTTAGCCCTGCTCAAAACAAGCTGTTTATGTATCTATAGCTTTAAATGTAAGTGAGCTGGGTCTGACCACGCACCTGTAAAAGGGCTTGGGGTAGCTCTAGCTTTCTCGCACCATGCCCTATTGTTTATGATGAGAAGGCAGACTGAGCGCAGAAAAAAAACGCCTTGCCGTAGTGTCACCCACCTGTGGGAGGGGTTACTGCCCTTTATGATGACCTTTAAAAATCGTAATCTATTAATTGTTGTGAAACAACTGTCCTTTTACCTTACACAAAAGTAGAAGTTTTATTGACTAGATTTCATTTTTGTTTCAAAGTTGCTCGTGGAAATTTAAAGAACGATATAAACTTACTCTAGGACAATTCATTTTTTTGTGCCGAAAGTATAAATGTTCAGAATGCAGCTGTGTTCTAACATGAATGGCATGTGGTCTGTGTTCGTCACAGTATGTATTAGAACAAACAACCCCTCCCTCTTTCTGTCCACGTGGCGGTGCTGCTTTGTGGAGAGTGTGAGGGTCAGACTGGGGTCAGAAGCAGGGCCCCTGACAGGGAGAGGTCTCCACACTGGAGACACGCATACATAGAGTGACACTAATGGGTTTCACATGTCGGCTTACAGCCTTGTGTGTATGTGTATGTTTGTTTGTGTATATTTGTGTGTGTGTGTGTGTGTGTGTGTCTCACCAGTGTGGAAGTAGGGGTTGGTGTAAGGGAATCCAAAGGGCAGCGACTGGGCATGCAGAGCAGGCAGCGGTGGCATGAATGCAGGAGGCAGGTGGTACTTCACATCAGCTTTGCCCAGTCCAGCAGAGAAGAGGTGTTGACCAGGTGACTCTGTGTCTCCTGAGCTACAAGGGGTGCTCAGTCTACCTGAGGTCTCTCCACTCTCCTTGGCTCTCACACACACT